TCCGTTGTTATTTTATAATTCTCGCTTCGAGGGCGAAACGGGGCGCGGCCTAGCGGGGGGCCCCGCTCGGGCGCGGAGCCTGCGGCTCGCCTAGCGCAGGCCGCCGCCGACGACGACGACGACGCCGCCGACGACGACGCCGACGCGCGACCGTCCTCAAAACTTCACGGCTTTTTTTAAAAAAAATTTTTTTAACACAAACAAAATTTACGGTTCAAATACCATTCGCAAATTGTTACTGTCGTTGATAATGTCGAGGACGACGATTAAATAGACACGACAGCGCGGCGCTGCGTTATTTTGCGGTAAGGTGGTGTTCGCGCGTCGACTGTGTGACTCGTAGCTTAAGAGCGGCAGTGGCGAGATTTCGTTTTGTCTTTAGCGATTTAAAAGAAGTAAATCGTTTACGTTTAGCTCGGCACTGCGAGAAAGCTTCATTCGTAACGAAGCAATACGATGCTGATGACGAATATGCATAGATTAGACTTGCGCCGACAAACGATAATTGGTTGTATGATGCGGGTTTTATGAGCTAGTTGCTTGAAAAGCGTTGCCGTTTTTATTTTTGTTAGACGTCTGGGTTGAAGTCTCCGTATTTGTTTTTAAAGTAATCGTCCGTTCTAACTTTGTGGTAGCAGCGGGGGGCGGGCGGCCCAGGGTCAACATTGAGACGATAATGTGTTTATAATCTCAGAGTAATAATACAATTGGAGTTGTTGGTAAATTCTGCGAGTGATGGGATTGTGTAGCCTGCTGCGTTTGCACTATTGGCCGCGGTGTTAGCGTGCGATTGTGTAATTGTGTAGCCCGTAGCGTGTGTTGTGATTGTACCGTGCAGTAAGTAGCAACGTGGAGTGTTGTACAGTGTTGTTCGTGTGTGTCTTGTGTATAAGCGTGTACACTATACAGTACTTGCGTGCACGCGCGTAATGCACAAGCATATACACGGAGACTAACAAAAATAAACATGCACATAAACACACGGTCGAATACAGTAAACATGCATTGTATGCACGCATAAACATACGCACGGCTATATAAACACGGAGATGCATAACACACATAGGCACATCTATACACACTTAAGATTACTCGACTTGTATACGTGCATACACATGTCATGGAGTCTACACACACTTGCCAATGCAGTCTGGAGTGCTTTTTACATGAACGAGCCTGTGTCCACACGTCTATATCAGTAGAGTATTGCGTTAACACGTTACCTGACCGTGCAACAACTAAGCCTGCGCGTGTTTGCATGTACTCTATGGTAGCTTCCCACCGCTGCCAATGTGGCAGAAGTTTAAGCCGGCGTTCATCTCCTGTTTCCGCAACCCCATGGCTCCCTGCACCACCACTCCGTGTCTACCTCCATCTCTCATCAACTCCCCCTCGCCTTCCCTCATCTCCACATACCTCTCACTCGCGTCTTCCCCCCCTTATGTCTGCTTGTGTGTCTGTCTGTGTGTCCCCGTGTCTGTGTTTTGTCTCTCTTTCCCTCCAATAACCTCCCCGTGTATTCTTCTCAACTCAAAATTCCCTCCCGTCGTATCTCATCCCCTAACTTCCGCTGACCTCTCCCCCCGCAACCTCTCTCTCTCCCCTAACTATCCCTCACCTCCCCTACATCTTTCCCCCTGTACCTCTCCTTACCTACTCTCACCTGTTCACTCCTCACCTCTCTGCGTCTTCCCCTCCCCATCAACTCGCCATGTCTCCACTCATCTGCGCTCATCTAACCAACCCCCCCCCACACCTTACCTTGTGTTCATCTCACTGTGCCTTCACTTTTCCTCACCTCCTCGCACCTCACGTCATCTCCCTGTGTCTCCCCAAACCTTGTCTCCCCTCACCCCTCCCCTTATCACTCTTCACTTCCTTTCACCTCTCCTTACCTCCCATCACGTCTCCTTACCTCATGTCACCTCTCCTTACCTCATGTCACCTCTCCTTACCTCATGTCACCTGTCCTTACCTCATGTCACCTCTCCTTACCTCATATCACCTCTCCTTACCTCATGTCACCTCTCCTTACCTTCCATCACCTCTCCTTACCTCATGTCACCTCTCCTTACCTCATGTCACCTCTCCTTAACTCCCATCACCTCTCCTTACCTCATGTCACCTCTCCTTACCTCATGTCACCTCTCCTTACCTCATGTCACTTCTCCTTACCTCATGTCACCTCTCCTTACCTAATGTCACCTGTCCTTACCTCATGTTACCTCTCCTTACCTCATGTCACCTCTCCTTACCTCATGTCACCTCTCCTTACCTCATGTCACCTCTCCTTACCTCATGTCACCTCTCCTTACCTCCCATCACCTCTCCTTACCTCATGTCACCTCTCCTTACCTCCCGTAACCGCTCATCACCTCCCATTACCTCTTCTCGCCTCCCGTAACGACCTCTCACCCCTGTGCCTTGCCCTCGCCTCCCTTCATGCTCCATGACCTCTTAACCTTTCTTCACCTGCCTTTACCGCAACCCTGTCTCACTTAACCTCGCCTCACCTTGTGTCTCTCCTCACAACCACCACGTACACCCCACCCCTCCCCCGGCCTTCCCTCCCCTGACTTGCCCCCTGCGTCGCCGTTGCAGGCCGGTGCCGGGATGTGGATTGAAAACCCGGAGCACCAGGTGCGCTTCCTGGCGGAGGCGAACCGCATGCGGCGCACGGGCGCGCTGTGCGACGTGGTGATTGCGGTGGGCTCCCGCCGCTTCTACGCCCACAAGCTGGTGCTCGCCTGCGTCAGCAAGACGCTCGAGGCGCTGTTCAAGCAGCCGAGCCTGCGCTACACGCTCGACTTCCTCACCCCGCTCACCTTCGAGCAGGTGAGCGTCGGCGTGGGAAGGGTGCGCGTGTGCGCGTTGCGTGACTGAGGCGAGCGGGGTGTGCGAGCGGGGTGTGCGAGTGGGGTGTGCGAGTGGGGTGTGCGAGCGGGGTGTGCGAGCGGGGTGTGCGAGTGGGGTGCGCGAGTGGGGTCGAGTGTGTCGGGCGAGTGAAGGCGCTGTTCAAGCAGCCGAGCCTGCGCTGCACGCTCGACTTCCTCACCCCCCCCCCGCTCACCTTTGAGCAGGTGAGCCTCGGTGTGGGATGAGTGCGTGTGTGTGTGCATTGTGTGTGTGGGGTGTGTGAGTGGGGTGTGGGTGTAGGTTGTGTGTGCGTGGGGTGTGTTTGTGGGTCGAGTGAAGGTGCTGTTGACGCTCAACTTCCTCACCCCACTCGTTGAGACCCAGACTGGGACCCTGGGTTAGTAACTATTACTAGTGATTTGAAGCTTTCGTGACTGCAGGGATTCGTGTTCTTGGTTCTTTCGGTAAAGAACACTAGTAATATAACTATTACTAGTGTTCTTATTACGCTTGGTTACCCAGGTAAGCCTCACTGGGTTTTAAGACTCGGTCTGTATGAGTCTCTGGCTCTCGAATAATAACGTGTCTCTCTCCACGTGTTTCCTCTCCCTTCCCCGTGTCGTTGTGTGTCCGTTGCCTCATCCATCTCCCGATCTCCCCGTGTCTCTCTCCATTTGTCTCCCCATCCACTTGTCTCCTCTTGTGTGTCCCCCACGTCATGGCGTGTCTCCCCGCGTGTCTCCCTGCTTGTCTCCCCGCGTGTCTTTCCCCGTGTCTTCCCACGTGTCTTTCCCCGTGTCTCCCCACGTGTCTCCTCTTGTGTACTCACGCGCGTGTCTCCCCGCGTGTCTCCCCGCGTGTCTCCCCGCGTGTCTCCCCACGTGTCTTTCCCCGTGTCTCCCCGCGTGTCTCCCCGCGTGTCTCCCCGCGTGTCTCCCCGCGTGTCTCCCCGCGTGTCTCCCCGCGTGTCTCCCCGCGTGTCTCCCCGCGTGTCTCCCCGCGTGTCTCCCCGCGTGTCTCCCCGCGTGTCTCCCCGCGTGTCTCCCCGCGTGTCTCCCCGCGTGTCTCCCCGCGTGTCTCCCCGCGTGTCTTTCCCCGTGTCTCCCCGCGTGTCTCCCCGCGTGTCTCCCCGCGTGTCTCCCCGCGTGTCTCCCCGCGTGTCTCCCCGCGTGTCTCCCCGCGTGTCTCCCCGCGTGTCTCCCCGCGTGTCTCCCCGCGTGTCTTTCCCCGTGTCCTCCCCGCGTGTCTTTCCCCGTGTCTCCCCGCGTGTCTTTCCCCGTGTCTCCCCGCGTGTCTTTCCCCGTGTCTCCCCGCGTGTCTTTCCCCGTGTCTCCCCGCGTGTCTTTCCCCGTGTCTCCCCGCGTGTCTTTCCCCGTGTCTCCCCGCGTGTCTCCCCGCGTGTCTCCCCGCGTGTCTCCCGGCGCGCTTCTCTTCCTGCGGCTCTCCCCTCGTGTCTCCCCTTCATCTCTATCTCCGGCCACGTCACTCCCCGGCTGTGTCTCCCCTCCCCCCCCCCACCCGTACCTACCCCCGTGTCTCTCCCCCGGATGTCGTCATCCCAGATCATGGAGTACGCGTACTCCGGCTCGGTGGAGGTGCAGCCGGACCAGGTGCCGCGCCTGCTGCACGCATCTCAGCTCCTGCAGATCGACTGCCTGGTGGAGCTGTGCCTGGGCCTGCACCACGCCACCGTGCAGGGCCTCTCCCCCGAGGCCCGCCTCGTCATCGAGAGGGGCCCCTCCGCGGTGGCCCCCGCCGACGAGGAGGACGATGAGGACGACGACGGCGGCGGCGGCGGCGCCGGCTGCAACAACCCCAACAACAACGGCGCCGCCGCCACCACCACCATCGTGGCCACAGCCACGGCCGCCAACAGCAGCAACAACGGCGGAGTGGACGTCAACATGGAGGAGGAGGAGGAGGACGACGACGGAGGCTCCCGGCTCCACAGCAACGACATCGTCGCCGCCGCCGACGACGACGACGACGACGAGGTGGACGCGCAGCGGCGGCAGCAGCTGGTGGTGGTGGCGCACGAGGAGGAGGCGGTGACGACCACCACGACGTTACACCACCACCACCACCAGCACCACCACCACCAGCACCACCACCACCAGCAGCACCACCAGCAGCAGCTACACCACCACCACCAGCAGCAGCAGCAGCAGTTCGTGGCCGAGTTCGACGACGAGGAGGAGGAGGACGACGACGTCGCCGGCGCCGCGGTCGCCGCCGGCGTGGCGGGCGCGTCGGCGGCGGCGGCGCGGCTCTGCGAGGAGGATGAGGACGACGAGGAGGCGGTGCGCGAGGAGGTGATAGTCCGCTACGACGACACGCAGCGCGTCATCCTCGCCGAGCAGTGCGTGCGCCGGCTGCTGTCGGCGACCGACGACGTCGAAGACGAGGACGACGCCGGCGCCGGGCGGACGGAGAGCAACGACGTCGCCGGCGACGACCGCGGCGACGGCGGCGGCGGCGGCGGCGGCGCCTGCGTCGGCGACGACGGCGCCGGCGCCGGCGCCGACGGAGGAGACGAGGACCCGGCCGACGCGGTGGCGGTGGTTGCGGCCAGGAAGAAGTACAGCGAGTCGGAGGTGATGCTGGCTGAGCAGTGCCTCAAGCTGCACCAGGCGGCGGCGGAGGCGGCCGAGACGGCGCTGCTGGTGGGGGCGAGCGAGGGGGACGGGCAAGGCGGCGGCGAGCCGGAGGTGCGGGTCATGTACATCGGCACCGACGTCGCCGCCGCCACAAACGCGGCGGCGGCGGCGGCGGCGGCGGCCGGCACCAGCGGGTACCAGCTCGCCGGGCGGGCCTACGCCGCGACCGGCAGGAGCCCCGTGGACGAACCGGAGAAACAGCCGGTGCTGGCCGCGACGACCAGGCCGGCGGCGCCCCCTCCTCCGCTGCCCCCGCCGGCGCCGGCACCGCTGCCGCACCAGCAGCAGCAGCAGCAGCTGTCTCAGCAGCAGCAGCAGCAGCAGCAGCTGCTGCAGTACACGATTGAGAAGGTGGTGCCGAACGGCGGCGCAAGTGTGCAGCACGAGGCAGTGGCCGTGACGGTGCTCACGGCGCACGAGCACGCGCACCTTGTCGATGCCGGCGGCGGGAAGGAGTGGCCGGAGAAGCGGCCGCGGCTGGACGAGCGCTACGCGGCGCCGTCGGGAGAGTACGACAAGGCCGCCGGTCCCGCCGGCGGCGGTTGGCACTTTGGAGGGAAGGCGGCCGGGGCGACCGCCGCCTCCGCCGGTCCCCACCTGGTAGCGCCGGCGGAGGTGAAGTTCGAGGCGGCGTGCGGGCAGTACTACCAGTCGGTGCTGGAGAAGGCCACCATGGTGCAGCAGCAGCAGCAGCAGCAACAGCAGCCGGCGCTGGCGGCTGCGTACTCGGCGAGCAAGAGCATCGGAGCGGACGGGCGCTACACGTTCATTAACCACGGGGGCCTCCTCAAGACGGCGTCGCCCGCCGAGGTGAGCGCCTGTGGCGGTGGGAAGGGAAGGGGTCGTGTGTTGATGGTGGGGCGCTGAGGGGGGTGGCGGTGGTTGGCGGGGTGGGAGGGGCGCGGGAAGATGGTGAGGGGAGAGTTGGAAGGCGGTGGGGAGGTGACAGATTGTGTGGTTAGTGCTAGGGGATGGTGGGGGTCGTGGAAGGGGGTGGCGTGCATAGTTAGAAGGTGGGGGGGGGGGGCGGTGTGGGTAGTTGAACGTGGTGGTGTGGGTAGTGCTATGCAGTGATGAGGTTAGTGGAAGTGGAGGGTGGTGAGAGGGATGGTGTGGGTTGTGGTATGGAATGGTGAGGAAAAGTGGTAGGTGAGTGGTGAGTGGGATGGTGTGGGTAGTAGTAGGGGGTGGTGAGGGTAGTGGTAGGGGGTGGTGTGGGTTGTGCTGGCCAATGGTGAGGGTAGTAGAAGAGTAGAGGGATGGTGTGGCTAGCGCTATGGTATGGTGTGGATAGTGGTGGAGTGTGGTGAGGGTAGTGGAAGTGGGGGGCGGGGGTGGTAAGGGTTACGGTCAATCCCACCACAGCCATTATGAACCTCCCAATGCACTCGTCATCCATCAGTACCACCATCACCCTGTCCCATCCCTCTACTCCCCCCCCGCCCGCCAGGCGGCTGAGTTGGAAGCGCGAGCGCTGCTAGCAGCCCGCGTGGACCCCCACCGGGACCCCCCCGCGGCCCCTCCCCCTCCCCCCGGGGCTCCCAGCGCCGCCTCGGTGCTGAGCGCCACCTCATGCTTCTCGTCGGCGTCGTCCTCCTCCTCCTCCCCCTCGTCGTCGTCGTCGAAGCCATCCGGAGCACCGCCCCACGTCACCGCCTCCACCATCAAGAGCACGGGCAGCTCCACGCCGCTGCCCGACTTCTCCACGCTGGTGTCACGCCGCATCGCGTCCAAGATCGTCAGCGCCAGCACCCACCACCAGCATCACCAGCACCAGCAACAGCAGCAGCAACATCACCAGCAGCAGCAGCAGCATCAGCAGCACCAGCAGCAGCAACAGCAGCATCAGCAGCAGCTCGAGCAAGCGCAGCAGCAGCAGCAGCAGCACCTCCATCACGGCGGCGGTGCCAACCTGATGGCTTCGAGGGCTCACGAGTACCTGCTGGTGCACGCGGAGGCCCAGACGCAGCAGTACGGCACCATCAAGCAGGAGAGTAATGGCGCCAAGCCCTGCCAGCTGTTGGACTCGCGGCCTGACGTGCCGCTGGTTTCGTCGGGGCAGTCGGCCGGCGCCGCCGCCGCCGCCGCGGCGGCTTCGGCCGCGGCGGCGGCCGCGGCGGCCGCAGCCGCGGCCGGTTCGGCCGGGGACTACTTTCCGGCAGGGCGGGACGCGGCGGCTGCCAGGGCGGCGGAGTACGGGGGACTACTTTTGCCGAAGGTGGAGGGGTGCTCGGGGGCGACGGTGGTGGCGCCGCCGTGCTCGCAACGGATGAATACGACGGATGCAGGCAGGTGGTGGGGTCGCGGGGTCACGCTGGGGCTGGTGGGGGTGGGTGGCAGGATCGGTCAGATCTTAATCTGAATGTTAATTTATATTGGGGGAATCCGATGAGCCATTGAAGCTCTTTCTCGCGGACGTCACAGCAAGGGCACGGGGTCAGGACGGTGACTGCCCGCGATCAGCTAGAATCTCCTCTGACGGCTGCTTTCTCCACACCTTGGCGAGCGTTTGAGCGGCAGGGATGCCTGGGGGCGTGCTCACAGCGTCTAGCCACGCCTCTCCGCAGCGCGGCCCTGCGCCCCCCCTTTTCCTGTCAGCTCCACCCCCACGTGAGGATTGCATCGGCCAATGGCAGCGCGCGACACGTGTCGCGCGAGGCGATTAAAACGCCGGGCGGAGAGACGCTCGGGGAGTCGAGTTCGGCCTCCGGCGCGAGCGGCGACCCGGGGTCGCGGTCAACCGCTCGCAGTCCGGTTGCAGTCCGGTTGCGTGACATCGATTGTTAGGTGCGTGTGCGTTGTGAGAATGGGTTGCTTGCGGTTGAATGGGCGGCAGCGCAGTAGTAACGAGCGTGCCTCAGCCAAAGGGGGGCCTGGGTTCGGCTCCCGACGCGGGCGTCTTTCTGCGTGGTTTGTGTGTTCTCCCCTGCGCTTCCGCCTGGGTTTCCTCTGGGCTCTCGGTCATCGTTATGCTTGGTGTTGTCTACTCAAGTCACCGTGTCTCCCCTCACGCCCCACGTGTCTCCCCCACGTGTCTCCCCTCGCCCCCCACGTGTCTCCCCTCACGGTTTGTGTGTCTCCCCCACGTGTCTCTCCTCACGTCCCACGTGTCTCCCCTCACGCCCCACGTGTCTCCCCTCACGCCCCACGTGTCTCCCCTCACGTTTGTGTGTCTCCCCTCACGCTCCACGTGTCTCCCCTCACGTTTGTGTGTCTCCCCTCACGCTCCACGTGTCTCCCCTCACGCCCCACGTGTCTCCCCTCACGCCCCACGTGTCTCCCCTCACGCCCCACGTGTCTCCCCTCACGCCCCACGTGTCTCCCCTCACGCCCCACGTGTCTCCCCTCACGTTTGTGTGTCTCCCCTCACGTTTGTGTGTCTCCCCTTACGCTCCACGTGTCTCCCCTCACGTTTGTGTGTCTCCCCTCACGCTCCACGTGTCTCCCCTCACGCCCCACGTGTCTCCCCTCACGCCCGACGTGTCTCCCCTCACGTCCCACGTGTCTCCCCTCACGCCCCCACGTGTCTCCCCTCACGGTTTGTGTGTCTCCCCCACGTGTCTCCCCTCACGCCCCCCGTGTCTCCCCTCACGCCCCACGTGTCTCCCCTCACGTCCCACGTGTCTCCCCTCACGCCCCCCGTGTCTCCCCTCTCGCCCCCGTGTCTCCCCTCAGGTCCCACGTGTCTCCCCTCACGCCCGCCGTGTCTCCCCTCACGGTTTGTGTGTCTCCCCCGCGTGTCTCCCCTCACGGTTTGTGTGTCTCCCCCGCGTGTCTCCCCTCACGGTTTGTGTGTCTCCCCCCGCGTGTCTCCCCTCACGGTTTGTGTGTCTCCCCCCGCGTGTCTCCCCTCACGGTTTGTGTGTCTCCCCCGCGTGTCTCCCCTCACGCGTGCGTGTGTCCGCCCACCTACCAGGGCTGGAGTTGGGCGTGGAGGCCTCGGACGCGTCCCTGGACGGTGCGTCGCTTGACGTGGCCAATCACGAGACGTTCTGCGGCTCGCACGGCGGCTCCCCGGCCAGCTCGGGCGGCGGCCTGGACGGCCTGGACACCACGGGGGGGGTCCCCACTGGGGGGGTCTCCTTCCGCTCGACGGCCAGGTGCCCCCTTCCACCACCGCGGCGGTGCGCGGGGGTACACGGACACCGGGACGAGGGGATTTGCGGAACGGGACATGGGAGTCTGCTGAATGGGACACGGGGGTAGAGGGCCACGGGGATATGGGGACAGGGGCATCCGCAGGGGTGACACGGGGGTACAGGGATACGGAGCGGCGATGGTGTGATGATGGCAGTGGTACAGCGGTGGTGGCGCTCGTGGTGGTGGATGTGACGGTGGTGGTGGTAGTGATGATGGCAGTGGTACAGCGGTGGTGGTGCTCGTGGTGGTGGATGTGACGGTGACGGTGGTGGTGGTAGTAGTGATGATGGCAGTGGTACAGCGGTGGTGGTGCTCGTGGTGGTGGATGTGACGGTGGCGGTGGTGGTGGTGGTGGTAGTGATGATGGCAGTGGCGACGGTGATGGCGCCGGCGGTCGCCGATCGTGGTGCCCGGTGTGACCCCGTGGTGGTGAACTCCAAAGACAAAGATCCCCACTCCACCCCCGCATAGCCTCAATGGGACTTGTGGGGCGAGCGCTGTCGGCGAGGAGCGGCACCCTCCCCCCCCCTAACCCCCCCCTAACCCCCCCCTTCCTCCTTCCCCAGCCACGGCCACCACCACCGCGGCAGCGGCGGCGTGAGCCTGGCGTCGCTCGGCGGCGCCGTGGTGAAGAGGGAGCGCCACGACGACGACGACGACGACGCGGCGGCGGGGGCGGCGGCGGCGGCGGCGCCGGGGGCGCCGGGGGCGCCGGGGGCGCCGGGGGCGGCCGGCGACAACTCTGAGGAGGAGGACGACGGCGTGAACTCGAGCGACGGCTCCCGCGGCGCGGGCACGGAGTGCACGGAGAGAGCACTCGCCGTGGTGCAGGGTGAGCGGGGACGCAACCACGGTGCCATCGCGGTGGGGGGGGGGTGAGGGGGTAGCACCGGCGATGGCTGTTCGCCTGTCTCTCCCGTGTCCCTCTTGTCTCTCCCGTGTCCCTCTTGTCTCTCCCGTGTCCCTCTTGTCTCTCCCGTGTCCCTCTTGTCTCTCCCGTGTCCCTCTTGTCTCTCCCGTGTCCCTCTGTCTTCCCTCCGTCTCCTCCCTGTCTCTCCCGTGTCCCTCCTGTCTCTCCCGTGTCCCTCTTGTCTCTCCCGTGTCCCTCTTGTCTCTCCCGTGTCCCTCTTGTCTCTCCCGTGTCCCTCTGTCTTCCCTCCGTCTCCTCCCTGTCTCTCCCGTGTCCCTCCTGTCTCTCCCGTGTCCCTCTTGTCTCTCCCGTGTCCCTCTTGTCTCTCCCGTGTCCCTCTTGTCTCTCCCGTGTCCCTCTGTCTTCCCTCCGTCTCCTCCCTGTCTCTCCCGTGTCCCTCCTGTCTCTCCCGTGTCCCTCTTGTCTCTCCCGTGTCCCTCTGTCTTCCCTCCGTCTCCTCCCTGTCTCTCCCGTGTCCCTCTTGTCTCTCCCGTGTCCCTCTTGTCTCTCCCGTGTCCCTCTTGTCTCTCCCGTGTCCCTCTTGTCTCTCCCGTGTCCCTCTTGTCTCTCCCGTGTCCCTCTTGTCTTCCCTCCGTCTCCTCCCTGTCTCTCCTGTGTCCCTCCTGTCTCTCCCGTGTCCCTCTTGTCTCTCCCGTGTCCCTCTGTCTTCCCTCCGTCTCCTCCCTGTCTCTCCCGTGTCCCTCCTGTCTCTCCCGTGTCCCTCTTGTCTCTCCCGTGTCCCTCTTGTCTCTCCCGTGTCCCTCTTGTCTCTCCCGTGTCCCTCTGTCTTCCCTCCGTCTCCTCCCTGTCTCTCCCGTGTCCCTCCTGTCTCTCCCGTGTCCCTCTTGTCTCTCCCGTGTCCCTCTTGTCTCTCCCGTGTCCCTCTTGTCTCTCCCGTGTCCCTCTGTCTTCCCTCCGTCTCCTCCCTGTCTCTCCCGTGTCCCTCCTGTCTCTCCCGTGTCCCTCTTGTCTCTCCCGTGTCCCTCTGTCTTCCCTCCGTCTCCTCCCTGTCTCTCCCGTGTCCCTCTTGTCTCTCCCGTGTCCCTCTTGTCTCTCCCGTGTCCCTCTTGTCTCTCCCGTGTCCCTCTTGTCTCTCCCGTGTCCCTCTTGTCTTCCCTCCGTCTCCTCCCTGTCTCTCCTGTGTCCCTCCTGTCTCTCCCGTGTCCCTCTTGTCTCTCCCGTGTCCCTCTGTCTTCCCTCCGTCTCCTCCCTGTCTCTCCCGTGTCCCTCCTGTCTCTCCCGTGTCCCTCTTGTCTCTCCCGTGTCCCTCCGTCTTCCCTCCATCTTCCCTCTGTCTTCCCCCCTGTCTCCTCCCTGTCTCTCCCGTGTCCCTCTTGTCTCTCCCGTGTCCCTCTTGTCTCTCCCGTGTCCCTCTTGTCTCTCCCGTGTCCCTCTGTCTTCCCTCCGTCTCCTCCCTGTCTCTCCCGTGTCCCTCCTGTCTCTCCCGTGTCCCTCTTGTCTCTCCCGTGTCCCTCTTGTCTCTCCCGTGTCCCTCCGTCTTCCCTCCATCTTCCCTCTGTCTTCCCCCTGTCTCCTCCCTGTCTCTCCCGTGTCCCTCTTGTCTCTCCCGTGTCCCTCCTGTCTCTCCCGTGTCCCTCTTGTCTCTCCCGTGTCCCTCTTGTCTCTCCCGTGTCCCTCTGTCTTCCCTCCGTCTCCTCCCTGTCTCTCCCGTGTCCCTCCTGTCTCTCCCGTGTCCCTCTTGTCTCTCCCGTGTCCCTCTGTCTTCCCTCCGTCTCCTCCCTGTCTCTCCCGTGTCCCTCTTGTCTCTCCCGTGTCCCTCTTGTCTCTCCCGTGTCCCTCTTGTCTCTCCCGTGTCCCTCTTGTCTCTCCCGTGTCCCTCTTGTCTTCCCTCCGTCTCCTCCCTGTCTCTCCTGTGTCCCTCCTGTCTCTCCCGTGTCCCTCTTGTCTCTCCCGTGTCCCTCTGTCTTCCCTCCGTCTCCTCTCTGTCTCTCCCGTGTCCCTCCTGTCTCTCCCGTGTCCCTCTTGTCTCTCCCGTGTCCCTCCGTCTTCCCTCCATCTTCCCTCTGTCTTCCCCCTGTCTCCTCCCTGTCTCTCCCGTGTCCCTCTTGTCTCTCCCGTGTCCCTCTTGTCTCTCCCGTGTCCCTCTTGTCTCTCCCGTGTCCCTCCGTCTTCCCTCCGTCTTCCCCCCGTCTCTCCCGTGTCCCTGCGTCTCCCCCGATTGTCACCATGTCTCCCACGTCTCTCGCCCCATCTGTCCTCGTGTCTCTCTCCCGTATCTCTCTGTCCCCCACGTGTCTCCCCCACGTGTCTCCCCCCCCTCCCCGCCGTGCGACACGCGTGTTCACGTGTTCACGTGTTCACGTGTTCACGTGTCCCCTGCAGCGGAGGCACGCTTGGCGTGCGAGCTGTGCGGGGTGCGCTTCCGCGACGAGGCGGCGCTGCGCACGCACAGCAAGAGCCACCTGCGCGAGCGTCCGCACGCCTGCGAGGTGTGCGGCAAGACCTTCACGCTTCGGCACCAGCTCAAGACTCACCACCGCGTCCACACGGGTAAAACGCGCGCTCGGAGCTCCGTGCGTGCCACTCGCCTGTTACCCACGCTCGCAGTGTGTGTGTGTGTGTGTCACTCGCCTACCACCGCTCTCTCGGTGTGTGTGTGTGTGTGTGACACTCGCCTACCACCACGCTCGGTGTGTGTGTCACTCGCCTACCACCACGCTCGGTGTGTGTGACACTCACCTACCACCACGCTCGGCGTGTGTGTGTGACACTCACCTACCACCACGCTCGGTGTGTGTGTCACTCACCTACCACCACGCTCGGTGTGCGTGACACTCACTTACCACACTCACAGCTCAAGACTCACCACCGCGTCCACACGGGTAAAACGCGCGCTCGGAGCTCCGTGCGTGCCACTCGCCTGTTACCCACGCTCGCAGTGTGTGTGTGTGTGTGTCACTCGCCTACCACCGCTCTCGGTGTGTGTGTCACTCGCCTACCACCACGCTCGGTGTGTGTGTCACTCGCCTACCACCACGCTCGGTGTGTGTGTCACTCGCCTACCACCATGCTCGGCGTGTGTGTGTGACACTCACCTACTTCCACACTCGGTGTGTGTGTGTGTCACTCACCTACCACCACGCTCGGTGTGTGTGTCACTCACCTACCACCACGCTCGGTGTGCGTGACACTCGCCTACCACCACGCTCGGTGTGTGTGACACTCACCTACCACCACGCTCGGTGTGTGTGACACTCGCCTACCACCACGCTCGGTGTGTGTGACACTCACCTACTTCCACACTCGGTGTGTGTGTGTGACACTCACCTACCACCACGCTCGGTGTGTGTGTCACTCGCCTACCACCACGCTCGGTGTGTGTGTCACTCACCTACCACCACGCTCGGTGTGTGTGACACTCGCCTACCACCACGCTCGGTGTGTGTGACACTCACCTACTTCCACACTCGGTGTGTGTGTGTGACACTCACCTACCACCACGCTCGGTGTGTGTGTCACTCGCCTACCACCACGCTCGGTGTGTGTGTCACTCACCTACCACCACGCTCGGTGTACGTGACACTCACCTACCACCACGCTCGGTGTGTGTGCCACTCACCTACCACACTCAGTGTGTGTGCCACTCACCTACCACACTCACAGTGTGTGTGCCACTCACGTACCACACTCACAGTGTGTGTGCCACTCGCCTACCACACTCACAGTGTGTCTGCCACTCACCTACCACACTCACAGTGTGTCTGCCACTCACCTACCACACTCACAGTGTGTGTGCCACTTACCTACCACACTCACAGTGTGTGTGCCACTTACCTACCACACTCACAGTGTGTGTGCCACTCACCTACCACACTCACAGTGTGTGTGCCACTCGCCTACCACACTCACAGTGTGTGTGCCACTCGCCTACCACACTCACAGTGTGTGTGCCACTCACCTACCACACTCACAGTGTGTGTGCCACTCGCCTACCACACTCACAGTGTGTGTGCCACTCACCTACCACACTCGGTGTGTGTGTGCCACTCACCTACCACACTCACAGTGTGTGTGCCACTCACCTACCACACTCAGTGTGTGTGCCACTCACCTACCACACTCGGTGTGTGTGCCACTCACCTACCACACTCACAGTGTGTGTGCCACTCACCTACCACACTCACAGTGTGTGTGCCACTCACCTACCACACTCACAGTGTGTGTGCCACTCACCTACCACACTCAGTGTGTGTGTGCCACTCACCTACCACACTCACAGTGTGTGTGCCACTTACCTACCACACTCACAGTGTGTGTGCCACTCGCCTACCACACTCACAGTGTGTGTGTCACTCACCTACCACACTCACAGTGTGTGTGCCACTCACCTACCACACTCGGTGTGTGTGTGCCACTCACCTACCACACTCACAGTGTGTGTGCCACTCACCTACCACACTCAGTGTGTGTGCCACTCACCTACCACACTCGGTGTGTGTGCCACTCACCTACCACACTCACAGTGTGTGTGCCACTCACCTACCACACTCACAGTGTGTGTGCCACTCACCTACCACACTCACAGTGTGTGTGCCACTCACCTACCACACTCGGTGTGTGTGCCACTCACCTACCACACTCGGTGTGTGTGTGCCACTCGCTCACACATGGCGCAAGACTCGCCCACTGCGTGCACCACTCCCGACCGCCACTTTGTCTCCCATAGTGGCTCAGCGCGCGCGAACCGATCACTCCACGTTGAAATCCTCACCGACCAATTACGACCCGTCACATAGTCACCGTCGTCGTCGTCGTCATCAGCAGGAGCAATGGTGTATCCACTGCTGGATGGAGTCATCCAGCAGGGCCCCAGCTGTCTCTCATGATCACGCGACGTTACAATCCACCCGGCAATACTTGCCCTACAAAAATAAAGATCCCCCCCATATATAACCTTCAACGGATGTCTGGGGCAAGTGGCGTTAGCGAGCAGCACCTACGAAGGCCGGCACGGCACGCGAAGGAGTTGATTCGGCCAACGCCTCTCTTGGGACCCCCGCTCCCCCTTTGCCTCCCCTCAGTTGCTCAGTGCTCACGAACCGATCACCTCCGCGTTCAAATCCTCACCGACCAATTCAGAATATCATTTCGGCTGGAGGAATCCGGAGGGCCCATGAAGCTCTTCTTCACAGATGCCCCACGACGGCTCGTCCCCTCCATCGTCCCCTCCATCGTTATCGTTCTTGTGTCTTTGCAGGCGAGAAGCCGTTTGAGTGCGTGCTGTGCGGGCAGCGCTCCCGCGATCACTCGGCAATGACCAAGCACCTGCGGACGCACGGCGGCGCCAAGCCCTACCGCTGCACCGTCTGCCGCGCCTACTGCCCCAACATGGCCGCCATGCAGAGTCACATGACCTCGCACCCGGCCACCGACCTGCCGTCCGATTGGACCATTGAGGACACCTACCTGTACCGCTACCACGTCATGTGATGGCGCGGACGGGTGGGAGCGGTGAAGGGGGGGGAGGTGGCAGGGGGTGGGAGGGAGGGGATATGGCGGGTGAGTGGGGGGGGGGGGTGCGTACGGGGAGGTGGGGAGGGAAGAGAAGAATTGATGAGGAGGGGCATGCAGGGAAGTCTGAATATTTTCCGTTTTAATTTCTTTTACCCATCTTTGTTTTTGTGATGTTTGCCCGTTTCCTCCTCTCCTCCTCGTCGTCGTCGTCGTCGTTGTCGATTGTTGTTGATGTTTTTAAACGGTCGATTGGTTTATTTTTTAAGTTATGGTTCCGTAGAGACGGTGTCGGGGGATGCTCGGCGGAGAGCACCTCCCGACGATGACGACTGTGATGCAGAAGAGAGGGAAAAAAAACAACCCAGAAACGCAGGATGAAAATGGCACAAAACTCCCGAGCCCCAAGATGAGTGACTGCTGGATGGTGGTGGCGGGCAGGGGGGTGTGTGTATGGTGTCATCACTTCCAGAGCATCACTACGATTGATCACCCCCCCCCTCACCCGTAGCCAACAGTGAGGTGGTGGTGATCACTTTGTTGGTAACAGAGGAAGTGATCATCATGCAGCCAACAGTGAGGTTGTGGTGGTCACCCTGTTGGTTAACAGGGATTGATCAATCCCCCGTAGCCAACAGAGTGAGGTTGTGGTGATCACCCTGTTGGGTAACAGGGATTGATCGTCCCCCGTAGCCAACAGAGTGAGGTTGTGGTGATCACCCTGTTGGTTAACAGGGATTGATCGTCCCCCGTAAGCCAACAGAGTGAGGTTGTGGTGATCACCCTGTTGGTTAACAGGGATTGATCGTCCCCCGTAGCCAACGGAGTGAGGTTGTGGTGATCACCCTGTTGGTTAACAGGGATTGATCGTCCCCCGTAGCCAACGGAGTGAGGTTGTGGTGATCACCCTGTTGGTTAACAGGGATTGATTGTCCCCCGTAGCCAACGGAGTGAGGTTGTGGTGATCACCCTGTTGGTTAACAGGGATTGATCGTCCCCCGTAGCCAACAGAGTGAGGTTGTGGTGATCACCCTGTTGGTTAACAGGGATTGATCGTCCCCCGTAGCCAACGGAGTGAGGTTGTGGTGATCACCCTGTTGGTTAACAGGGATTGATCGTCCCCCGTAGCCAACAGAGTGAGGTTGTGGTGATCACCCTGTTGGTGAACAGGGATTGATCGTCCCCCGTAGCCAACGGAGTGAGGTTGTGGTGATCACCCTGTTGGTTAACAGGGATTGATCGTCCCCCGTAAGCCAACAGAGTGAGGTTGTGGTGATCACCCTGTTGGTTAACAGGGATTGATCGTCCCCCGTAAGCCAACAGAGTGAGGTTGTGATGATCACTTTGTTGGTTAACAGAGGAAGTGATCATCATGCAGCCAACAGTAGGAGCTGGTGATCACTCCTCTTGTGCAGGCACCTGTGCACACCCCAAGGCCGTGTGTATGCCTACGCACGCGTTTCACGCGCACTGGTCACGCTGGGTGGGGCAAAGAGTGTGCAACTTCTTCCGATAACACTTGGCCAACGTGAAAGAGTGGGCCCAAAAAAAAAAACACCTCTCACTAGAGCTCCCAATGATGATGATGATGAAGGCCCCTTTTGCAAGCGGTGGGCGCATGCCGACGCGCGAGTCACACGGGCACACACTGGCACACACTGGCACACACTGGCACACACTGGCACACACGGGCACACACGGGCACACACGGGCACACACGGGCACACACGGGCACACACTGGCACACACTGGCACACACTGGCACACACGGGCACACACTGGCACACACGGGCACACGCAGTGACACGGAGACACAGACAGGCACACGTGCGTCAGATCTGCTTACGGACGGACAGGACTCGCCAAATGGCCAGCGAGTTTAGAGGCGTTTTGTTTTTTTTTATTTTTGAGAAATGGCGAACTTGTTCACGCCGTTTCTGTTCAGTTTATAAGTTATTTCTGCTTGTTGTCAGCGTTAACGTTTCACCGGTGGTTGGATTTGTTGTACAGTTGTTTTTGTTTGTTGTTGCTGCGATAGTCGCTGGCTTAAGTAGCCGCGCGTGTCGAGGGCATGCGCTGGACCGGCGTCGATTTCCGTCGCCAAACCCCTAGCGCAGTTGGCGCGCACCTCCTTAGCACTGAAACCCGGCGGCTCTCTCCCCCGCATCTCCCCCGTATCATCCAACGCAAGGCCAACACACCGCCCACTTTTACACCACCGACCCACGCCACTCACCCCACTCGACCTCACCCACGCTACCCATCCACCCACCGGCCCACCCGCGCCCACCCACACCACGCCACCGATCATCGCCGTTCATGGCACCCATTTACTTAACGCCTTCCACCCATCAAACCCGTTGCCACCCACCGACCCACTCGGGCCACCCACCCACACCACCAATCTGTGCCATTCATGCTTCCCACGCCATCCACGCCACCCACCCATCAACCCATCAACCCACGCCACCCACCCATCAACCCACGCCATCCACGCCACCCACCCATCAACCCATGCCATCCATGCCACGCCATCCACGCCACCCGTTAGCATCGCGCACGCATGCGCCACCACGCTAATTCAACCACCGCGACCGCCTGAACTTTTGCGAGGGACGGTGCACACAAAGTCTGTGGCCTGACAACGGGAGAGAGAGAGAGGGAGAGAGGGAGATTGACTCGGAAGGTTTTTATTTTTCGAATTTTTAATTTCCCTTTTTACCCAGAAAAAAACTTCACCGAGTGTCGGCTTTTTAAAATTAATTATATTTCTTACAGGAGGGGAGGGATGGGAGGGAGGCGAGGGAGGGGAGGGCCCTCCCGGCCCTCCCCTCCCCTCCAAAGTTTCTCAGTCGGGGCAGTTTGGGGGGGGGGGGGGTCCATTTTTGCCATCTGTAAATTCCAGTTGAGTCATTTGCAGATAATATTTCAGGATTGAGATGTTTTGGCCAACACAAAGTTGGTTTGTTGTTTTTTGTTCAATAATTATGTTATACGTTCCATGAGAAGTGCATTCTTAATTTTGTTGTAAGGGAAATTAACTATCTATAATAAAGGAAGAGCGTTGGGGGGGGGGGGGGGGTTTGGGTCAGATCGTGTAAATATAAACGTGTTGTTAAACCCACCACCACTACGGCACAGCCAACTAGTTCAGCGCACGGGTGCATTGGAGAGTAAAACCACAGCATTTAGAATTTACTCTCCAACACCGGGTGTGCTGAAGTATCAACTAATTGGCTTGCTTTGTTTACGTGACAAACCTTACTAATTGGCAACGTCGGGTGGTGGCGGGTTTAACAACACACGCTTGCGCGATCCAACCCAATAAATTTATTTTGGATAATATTGGTCACGAAAGGCCTGCTACTATGCGTTTAAACTGAAATTTTAACTACGTTGGGTTTCAGTTGCGATGGCGAGATCGCACGTCCTCCTGTTCAGCGTCGGCGCGCTTTGCGTTGAACTGCTGAAGACGCGGAGAAGTCCGTGATGTGCAGGGTGGGGGGCAATGTTGCAGCGAGACGCGATGTGTGGAGAGGTTTCCGCGAAAACGTTTTTGAGATGGAAGAGAAAATCTGGGTTCGCGAAAAAAGTGTCGGAGCGTTTTTCATAAATGTGGAGGAGTTTTTTTGTTTGTTTGGTTAACAAGAAATTTGGGATGAAAGTAAAAAAAAAATCAGAAAATATTCGGAGACATCGAGAAAATCCAGAGAAATTTGGAGCAATCTCAGATAAATCTGGAGAGATTTTTTTTTTAGAAATCTGCAGGAAAACAATTAAAAAAATTGTCCCCATCCAAGCAAAATATAATTTGGAGAAAAATCTGAGAACGTTGATAAAAACTCGAGAGAGCGCCTGACCGCGACACGCCGCTCATACGGGGGGTCACCCTTGTACGCGCCGTGAAGAAGGTCCATTGCCCGAAACGTCGCCCGTCACGCATTTCTTTCATCTCTAGGACCACAAACAACCGCACGCACAGGCACGCCGTTGACTGACCCCCCCCCCCCCGACGATGGTGCCGAGTCGAATTGTTTTTGTTAATGCCCCTCCACCGCTAAAGGTGGTGGCAAGAACGTCGTCGTTTCCGTGTTCAGGCCGCAGACTTTCCCCGCCAGCTCCTTCCCCCCACCCCCTCCTTCGCTCGGTCGTTTCTTCGCTCCGTTTGCTCCGCTCGGATGGATTCCCGCCGCCGGGCTTGTGGCCTCCACTCCGACCACCCCCCCCCCTCTCCATCCACCCTCCCCGCCGTCGCCAAAGCTCGCCTGACGGGGGCCCCCGCCGCTACCACTTTCTGTTCCTTTTGCGCGGTTAACTTGGAAAGCAAAACAAAAAAGCGAAACGCAGAAAAAAACATTTCGTTGATTCACAATCGATTTTTCGTTCGGGGCGAGGCCCACCGCGTAGTGAAGTGATCTGGCCACACCTCCCGCCCCCCCCCCCCTCCCCGTGTGTGTAGATGAGATCCCTCCACCACCCGACCTGAGCCGACGCGGCCAAACACATTGAAGTGTGGAGGCGGCGTGGGAGTGGTCTGAACGACGCGCACCGACTGTGTTTGTTTCCGCTCGCTCGCTCGCACACCCACTCGCTCACTCACACATCCACTCGCTCGCACTTTCACACCCACTCGCTCGCACACTCACTCACACATCCACTCGCTCACTCGCACATCCACTCGCTCGCACTTTCACACCCACTCGCTCGCACACTCACTCACACATCCACTCGCTCACTCGCACATCCACTCGCTCGCACTTTCACACACCCACTCGCTCGCACACTCACATATCCACTCGCACATCCACTCGCTCGCACTCTCACCCACTTGCTCGCTCACTCGCACATCCACTCGCTCACCCACTCGCTCACCCACTCGCTCACCCACTCGCACATCCACGCACCCACTCACACACCCACTCACACATCCACTCTCACCCACACTCACCCAATCACACATCCACTCTCACCCACACCCACCCACTTACACATCCACCCTCGCCCACTCTCGCATCCACTCACCCACTCGCACTTGCTCATCCACTCTCTTATCCACTTGCTCACACTCACCCACTCTCACATCCACTCTCACCCACTCTCACCCACACTCATCCACTGTCACATCCACTCTCACCCACACTCACCCACACTCACCCACTCTCACATCCACTCTCACCCACTCACTCACATCCACCCTCACATTCACTCTCACCCACACTCACCTACTCTCACATCCACTCTCATCCACTCGCACTCACTCATCCACTCTCACATCCACACTCACCCACTCTCACCCACTCTCACATCCACACTCACCCACTCACACATCCACTCTCATTCACTCTCATTCACTCTCACATCTACTCGCACTCACCCACTCACACATCCACTTGCTCATACACCCACTCACACATCCACTTGCTCGTTCACCCACTCAAACATCCACTCGCACTCGCTCACCCACTCGCACTCGCTCACCCACTCGCACATCCATTCACCCACTCATATCCACTTGCTCACACATCATCTTGCTCGCACACTCAAAAACTCGCACACCCACTCGCTCATTCACACTCTCGCATACTCAAAAACTCACGTCCACTTACTCGCTCACCCACTCACATTCACTCGCTCCCACACTCATCCACTCGCACATCCACTCACTCACCCACCCACAACTCCACTCGCACACTCACCCACTCTCACATCCACTCACACTCACCCACCCACAACTCCACTCGCACACTCGCCCACTCTTACATCCACTCGCACTCACCCACCCACAACTCCACTCACACACACCCACTATCATATCCACGCACTCGCACACTCAAAAACTCACATCCACTCAGCCACTTTCACATCATCGCACTGGCTCACCCACTCGCGTCCACTCGCACACTCATCCACTCAAAACACTCACCCACTCTCACATACACTCACTCGCACACTCATCCACTCTCACATACACTCAAAACACTCACCCACTCTCACATCCACTCACTCGCACACTCATACCACTCGCATTCACCCACTCACCCACCCACTCGCTCGCTCACAAGACAAAGGTCCCCAGTTTTATAGCCTCACAAGACTGTTGAGGCAAGTGCTGTTAGCGGGCACCTGTGAAAGCCGGCAAGGCACACCAGGCAGGGGGTGGGTGGGTGGCCAGCACCACGCCCAGCCACCTTGATCTTCCAGGTACTCACTTGAGGTTGAGTCAACCTAGGGGAAGGTCCAGGACTGGTTTAGGTAATCATTGCTGGTGTTGGCCGTGAGTGGGATTCGAAATCGCGCATCCACTCTCGCCGCTGAGATGGAGAGTGAATACCGCAGATCTCAAACTTGATCTCGTTTGCAATGCACTCACCCGCCCAATCAACTCGCCCACTCACTCACTCGCCCACTCCCCCCCTCACTCGCCCACTTCCCCCTCACTCGCCCACTTCCCCCTCACTCGCTCACTCTCTCGTCCACTCTCGCCACTCTCACTCGCCCACTCTCTCACTCGCCCACTATCCACCTACCCTCTCACCCGCTCACTCTCGCTCACTCTCTCGTCCATTTTCTCTCTCGCCCACTATCACCTACCCTCTCACCCGCTCTCGCTCACTCACTCGCCCACATTCTCACCCACTCTCTCACTCCCCACTCACACCCTCTCTCACTCACCCACTCCCTCACCATACTCTCTCACTCACCCACGCTCACCTACTCTCTCACTCACCCGCTCTCTCACCTATTCTGTCACTCCTCGCTCACCCACTTTCTCACTCGCCCGCTTGCCCACAGGTGAGCGAGGGTCACGATCCTCACCGCCGGACGGTATGAGCGACGACTTTTCGCTCGAAACTGCGGCGAGCTTCATCAGGGACGGCGAGGTCCGGGAAATCGAGACTCGACGATCCATGAAAACAAACTCGTGACCTTGTTCATTTGAGAATTCAAATTTAACTTTTTTTTTTAAAATACATTATACATATATTTAATTTTAACCTTCTTTCAAACGCCCGGGGCGGTCTCATCGCAGCGTGGACGTCCCCGTTAACCCCGCCACCCCCTCCGGCTTGACTTGTCGTTGTGGGTTGCTGTCGTTTGTGTTGGGTTGCCCCTCCACCACCCCGACTTTTCGGTGCATGTTGTTTATAATCTCACGAATGTGTCTATTGTGTGTGTTTTTTAAGACGTTTATTTTTTTTGTTCTCTCCACGCCGCCCTGCCTCCCCCCTAGCTCACCCTCCCCTCTGGCGCGCGCAACGCGATCGCAGGTGCAACCGGTTGCGTTAAACCGGCTTCGCATGCGGGTTGTGTCAACTGGTTTCCGAGCAGTTCCGCGCTAGCGTTAAGCCGGTTTGCTCACGGGGAAGAGACGGGACAGCTTGCTTTTATTATGCGTGGACCTCTCAGCAACCAGTTGCATACATTCGATACAGGCTGTATTGTCAATTAGCCACACCTGAGCGATCTGTTGCACGCAACCAAGTTGCTTGTGTGCGGCCGGCCCCGCAACCGGTTGCGCCGCTTCGCTGCAGAAGGCCAAAACTTCTCACGCGTGGCGATTTCCATCGCCGCGTGCCGCGTGATTGGTCGTCGTCACTCGCCGTGGGCAGAGGGCCGCGTGCAACTGCCCCGAGCCCAGACGTTGGATGTGGACACGGCAGTCGGTGGCCGGGCCGGGCCGGACCAGGCCGGGCCTACCGGGCCCAGGTCGGGCCTACCGAGCCGGGCCAACGGTGGCCGGGCCAGGCCTGCCGTTCCGGTGGTGGCCCAGTTAACTCCGTGGCCTATGCTACGATTCGCGAATTGATCACCGGGTTCCTTCTGGAGTTGCGGGCGAAGAGGTCAAGGCTGCGGGATGTCAAGAATGGGGCCGTCGCATTAATACGCGGGCCGCCCCAAACTCCCAGCATAGATTATGTGCGGATTCTCTTTTGTGTTGTTCGTTTGTGAAGTCACGCGCGGGGTTACCAGCCACGGCGCCGACCCGTTGGCGCCGCGACCAACTCGCCCCCCCCAGGCTCTGCGGAACGAGAAAGCGGCCGCGCCAGAGAGACGTGTTTTGGTTCACCTTTTGGGCCGCGTTTTTTTTTTCCCGTTACTTTTTAGCGCAATCGGGTCGTGAACCAAACCAAACAAACACGCAGATAGAATCGGTTAACAAGGAGAGCTATTATTTTTGTTTGCGAACTACGTTAATATGATGGAGGGCGGGGGGGGGGGGAAAAATAACAACAACAAGCCCCATAAATAATTTTCAAGAGCCTCAATGCGAGTAACGTGGGGAAAGCAAAGGGCCCTCGTGACTGGGGAGGTGGAGGCGGGCGCATTACATCGCCCGAACCGCGTGTTGCTGAGTTGACGTTAGCGCAACCCCCGATAGCTCAGGAGTGCGGCTGACCCGGCGTGAGAACATCGTACGAGGTCGAATCGAGGTTTGGGCTGGTTTTGGTGGGGCAGCAGCAGCAGCAGGTGCGTGTGGTGTGCGTGCGTGCGTGTGTGTGGTGTGTGTGTGTGGTGCCGTCGAGGGAAGAGGGGGTGGGAGAGAGTTGTGTGGTGGGAGGGAAGGATTTGTCTCGGCGTTCTCTCCTCCGTTTGGCCGTCCGTTCCGTCTCTTGTCCGACACCCACCCACCCCTCTGTACCATGTCCAGTTATTTTGTCTGTTTTTGTTTTGGGACAACAACAAAAAAATCTGTAGTTAAGAGAGAACCTTTTCGTACACATACCACGTGAGAGAGAGAGAGAAAGCGCGTCACCTTTTTACACTTCTAAGTTAATTTATAAACAAAGCTAATACGAAAGCATAATTATATAAAGTTTGAGTATATCAAAACAAAGTGATGATGATAGTAATGATGACGGTAGTGGTGGTGGTCGGTGGTGATGATGATGGTGGTGGTCATGATGGTCATGATGGTTATTGAAGACATTCTTGTGTACATAGTTTTATTCTCAAACGATTCCCCTCTCCCCGACTCGCATAAACTTGTTGGGTGGACACGTTTCAAGAACACGGAAACAACAGTCACCGGAAGGAGGAGGCATATTTGTAAGTTGAATTATTATTAGTTTTTGCAGTAGATTAACATAAACTCCCCTCTACTAAGTCTATATCTGTGTACAAAAAAACCTACAAAATTGAAAAACATAAAAAAATGACACTTACTACAAATACAATATATTGCATTGTATATTAAGTGGCTGCAGATTAAAATGAAAACGGAAACAATAAATAAATTTGCCACTTTTTTCTATAATTTTATTTCACCCGCTCGCTCCGTAGTCCTTAATTTCACACCCCCTCCACCGGGGTGACGTGGGGAAGAGAGAGAGTCTGTGGGAATGAGTGACTGCCGGTGGGAATGAGTTAAGGTCGGGGGGGGGGAGAATGAGTGACCGTCGGCCGGACGGAGTGAGTGATAGGCCGGTGGGAATGAGTGATAGGTTCGTGGGAGTGAATTACAACCGGTGGGAATGAGTTACGGTCGGGGGGATGGGGGAATGAGTGGTGGTGGGAACGAGTGACAGACTCGTGGGAGTGAGTGATGGTCGGTGGGAATGAGTGACAGACTAGTGGGAGTGAGTGACAATCGGCCGGTGGGAATGAGTGATGGCTGATGGGAATGAATGATAGGCCGATGACAGGTCGATGGGAATGAGTGACAGGTCGATGGGAATGAATGATGGTAGGTGGGAATGAGTGATGGCTGATGGGAATGAGTGATAGGCCGATGACAGGTCGATGGGAATGAGTGACAGGTCGATGGGAATGAATGATGGTAGGTGGGAATGAGTGACAGGTCGATGGGAATGAGTGACAGGTCGATGGGAATGAATGATGTTAGGTGGGAATGAGTGATAGGCCGATGACAGGTCGATGGGAATGAGTGACAGGTCGATGGGAATGAATGACAGGTCGATGGGAATGAATGACAGGTCGATGGGTATGAGTGATAGGCCGATGACAGGTCGATGGGAATGAGTGACAGGTCGATGGGAATGGATGATGGTAGGTGGGAATGAGTGATGGCTGATGGGAATGAGTGATAGGCCGATGACAGGTCGATGGGAATGAGTGACAGGTCGATGGGAATGAATGATGGTAGGTGGGAATGAGTGATGGCTGATGGGAATGAGTGATAGGCCGATGACAGGTCGATGGGAATGAGTGACAGGTCGATGGGAATGAATGATGGTAGGTGGGAATGAATGACACGGCCGGTGTGCTTAAGATTTCGTTCTGCGTGGTGTTGGGCGCGATGTCCGACGTTCCCTGGGTTCCTCACCCAGCCGCCCCCCCCCCCCAAAGCCATACCCACACGCCCATTTAAGGCTGAGTCGACCTAGTGGGCGCCCAGGATCGGTTCGGATACTCGCCGTTGCTGTTGGCCCTGGATACGGGAATCGAACTCGGGGGTCGCAAGGTTCGCAGCGCGGAGCGAGCCACGACGCCAGCGTTACCCACGCAACAAAAATCTCTCCCCGGAAGCCTCAACGCAAGGTGCTGTTAGGGCACGGCACACGTGGGGGTGGGGGGTGGGGGTGTGGGGGGGAGGTGGGGGCGGAGGGGTAGGGGCAAGAGGTGGGGGCTAGGGGAGGAGGTGGGGGTGTGGGCGGAGGTGGGGGCTAGGGGAGGAGGTGGGGGCTAGGGGAGGAGGTGGGGCTGTGGGCGGAGGTGGGGGCTAGGGGGGGGAGGTGGGGGCGGGATAAGCCAGCTCCAACGTAATGACGTCACCCCGCTTTTCAACGCTCCCAGCCTCGTGACGTAATCTTACAGCGACGCGATGACGTCACCGAACCGGGTTGACTCATCCGCAGCTTGTAGCGCGAACGTCATCGGTGTAAACATCGCGTGACGTCACGTCAGTGAGCTCACGCGCTCCCGATAGGTTTTGGGTTTTGTTTTTTTTTGGCGCGAAAAGTTGCGAGGAGCGCGCCGCCGCCGCCGGACTCCAGCGCTGCATACTGCTGCTGCTGCTGTCAATTGCTATGGGCGGGTGAGAAGAAGTCGCGAGACCTGGCGCCTACAGTTATTGGCGGTTGTTTAAAACGATCATTTAGAGCCGTCGTCGCGTGAGGGAACAGTGCGCATTATTAGGGGTAGCGTGTAGTGTGGTGGAGGGTTTTTTTGTTGAATGGGGGAGCCGTGGCGCAATGGTTAGCGCGACCCCGAGTTCCATTCCCGCTCACGAACAATAACAGTGGCGGATATTTGAACATGGTCCTGGGCCTCCCCCTAGGTCGACTCGGCCTCAAATGAGTACCTGGTGCGGTGTGTGGTAAACATCGTCACTGGGGGAGACAAAGGCGGTCGGGCGTGGTGCTGGCCACCCACCCCCCTTCGTGTGCCCGGCCTTGCTTCATATGTGGTGCTCGCTAACAGCGCTTGCCCAAACGGTATGTTTAGTAGTAGCGTGTTTATAGGAGGGAAAGTGTGTTAGGGGTGGTAGTGTGAGGGGAAAGTGTGTTAGGGGTGGTAGTGTGAGGGGAAAGTGTGTTAGGGGTGGTGGTGTGAGGGGAAAGTGTGTTAGGGGTGGTAGTGTGAGGGGAAAGTGTGTTAGGGGTAGTGTAAGGGGAAAGTGTGTTAGGGATGGTAGTGTGAAGGGAAAGTGTGTTAGGGGTGGTAGTGTGAGGGGAAAGTGTGTTAGGGGTGGTAGTGTGAGGGTAAAGTGTGTTACGGGTGGCAGTGTGAGGTAAAAGTGTGTTAGGGGTAGTAGTGTGAGGGGAAAGTGTGTTAGGCGTGGTAGTGTGAGGGGAAAGTGTGTTAGGGGTGGTAGTGTGAGGGGAAAGTGTGTTAGGGGTGGTAGTGTGAGGGGAAAGTGTGTTAGGGGTGGTGTGAGGGGAAAGTGTGTTAGGGGTGGTAGTGTGAGGGGAAAGTGTGTTAGGGGTGGTAGTGTGAGGGGAAGTGTGTTAGGGGTGGTAGTGTGAGGGGAAGTGTGTTAGGGGTGGTAGTGTGAGGGGAAAGTGTGTTAGGGGTGGTAGTGTGAGGGGAAAGTGTGTTAGGGGTGGTGGTGTGAGTGGAAAGTGTGTTAGGGGTGGTAGTGTGAAGGGAAAGTGTGTTAGGGGTTGGTAGTGTGAAGGGAAAGTGTGTTAGGGGTGTAGTGTGAGGGGAAAGTGTGTTAGGGGTGGTTAGTGTGAGGGGAAGTGTGTTAGGGGAAAGTGTGTTAGGGGTGGTAGTGTGAGGGGAAAGCGTGTTAGGGGTGGTAGTGTGAGGGGAAAGTGTGTTAGGGGTGGTAGTGTGAGGGTAAAGTGTGTTAGGGGTGGTGTGAGGGGAAAGTGTGTTAGGGTGGTAGTGTGAGGGGAAAGTGTGTTAAGGGTGGTAGTGTGAGGGGAAGTGTGTTAGGGGTGGTAGTGTGAGGGGAAAGTGTGTTAGGGTGGTAGTGTGAGGGGAAAGTGTGTTAGGGGGTGGTAGTGTGAGGGGAAAGTGTGTTAGGGGTGGTGGTGTGAGTGGAAAGTGTGTTAGGGGTGGTAGTGTGAAGGGAAAGTGTGTTAGGGGTGGTAGTGTGAAGGGAAAGTGTGTTAGGGGTGGTAGTGTGAGGGGAAAGTGTGTTAGGGGTGGTAGTGTGAGGGGAAAGTGTGTTAGGGGAAAGTGTGTTAGGGGTGGTAGTGTGAGGGGAAAGCGTGTTAGGGGTGGTAGTGTGAGGGGAAAGTGTGTTAGGGGTGGTAGTGTGAGGGGAAAGTGTGTTAGGGGTGGTAGTGTGAGGGGAAAGTGTGTTAGGGGTGGTAGTGTGAGGGGAAAGTGTGTTAGGCGTGGTAGTGTGAGGGGAAAGTGTGTTAGGGGTGGTAGTGTGAGGGGAAAGTGTGTTAGGGGTGGTAGTGTGAGGGGAAAGTGTGTTAGGGGTGGTGTGAGGGGAAAGTGTGTTAGGGGTGGTAGTGTGAGGGGAAAGTGTGTTAAGGGTGGTAGTGTGAGGGGAAGTGTGTTAGGGGTGGTAGTGTGAGGGGAAAGTGTGTTAGGGGTGGTAGTGTGAGGGGAAAGTGTGTTAGGGGTGGTAGTGTGAGGGGAAAGTGTGTTAGGGGTGGTGGTGTGAGTGGAAAGTGTGTTAGGGGTGGTAGTGTGAAGGGAAAGTGTGTTAGGGGTGGTAGTGTGAAGGGAAAGTGTGTTAGGGGTGGTAGTGTGAGGGGAAAGTGTGTTAGGGGTGGTAGTGTGAGGGGAAAGTGTGTTAGGGGAAAGTGTGTTAGGGGTGGTAGTGTGAGGGGAAAGCGTTGTTAGGGGTGGTAGTGTGAGGGGAAAGTGTGTTAGGGGTGGTAGTGTGAGGGGAAAGTGTGTTAGGGGTGGTGTGAGGGGAAAGTGTGTTAGGGGTGGTAGTGTGAGGGGAAAGTGTGTTAAGGGTGGTAGTGTGAGGGGAAGTGTGTTAGGGGTGGTAGTGTGAGGGGAAAGTGTGTTAAGGGTGGTAGTGTGAGGGGAAAGTGTGTTAGGGGTGGTTGTGTGAGGGGAAAGTGTGTTAGGGGTGGTGGTGTGAGTGGAAAGTGTGTTAGGGGTGGTAGTGTGAAGGGAAAGTGTGTTAGGGGTGGTAGTGTGAAGGGAAAGTGTGTTAGGGGTGGTAGTGTGAGGGGAAAGTGTGTTAGGGGTGGTAGTGTGAGGGGAAAGTGTGTTAGGGGTGGTAGTGTGAGGGGAAAGCGTGTTAGGGGTGGTAGTGTGAGGGGAAAGTGTGTTAGGGGTGGTAGTGTGAGGGGAAAGTGTGTTAGGGGTGGTAGTGTGAGGGGAAAGTGTGTTAGGGGTGGTAGTGTGAGGGGAAAGTGTGTTAGGGGTGGTAGTGTGAGGGGAAAGTGTGTTAGGGGTAGTGTACGGGGAAAGTGTGTTAGGTGTAGTGTGAGGGGAAAGTGTGTTAGGGATGGTAGTGTGAGGGGAAAGTGTGTTAGGTGTGGTAGTGTGAGGGGAAAGTGTGTTAGGGGTGGTAGTGTGAGGGGAAAGTGTGTTAGGGGTGGTAGTGTGAAGGGAAAGTGTGTTAGGGGTGGTAGTGTGAGGGAAAAGTGTGTTGGGGGGGGTGAGGAGAAGTGTGTTAGGGGTGGTAGTGTGAGGGGAAAGTGTGTTAAGGGGTGGTAGTGTGAGGGGAAAGTGTGTTAGGGGTGGTAGTGTGAAGGGAAAGTGTGTTAGGGGTGGTAGTGTGAGGGGAAAGTGTGTTAGGGGTGGTAGTGTGAGGGGAAAGTGTGTTAGGGGTAGTAGTGTGAGGGGAAAGTGTGTTAAGGGTGGTAGTGTGAGGGGAAAGTGTGTTAGGGGTGGTGGTGTGAGGGGAAAGTGTGTTAGGGGTGGTAGTGTAAGGGAAAAGTGTGTTAGGGGTGGTAGTGTGAGGGGAAAGTGTGTTAGGGGTGGTGGTGTGAAGGGAAAGTGTGTTAGGGGTGGTAGTGTGAGGGGAAAGTGTGTTAGGGGTGGTAGTGCGAGGGGAAAGTGTGTTAGGGGTGGTAGTGTGAGGGGAAAGTGTGTTAGGGGTGGTAGTGTGAGGGGAAAGTGTGTTAGGGGTAGTGTAAAGGGAAAGTGTGTTAGGTGTAGTGTGAGGGGAAAGTGTGTAGGGATTGGTAGTGTGAGGGGAAAGTGTGTTAGGTGTAGTGTGAGGGGAAAGTGTGTTAGGGGTGGTAGTGTGAGAGGAAAGTGTGTTAGGTGTAGTGTGAGGGGAAAGTGTGTTAGGGGTGGTAGTGTGAAGGGAAAGTGTGTTAGGTGTAGTGTGAGGGGAAAGTGTGTTAGGGATGGTAGTGTGAGGGGAAAGTGTGTTAGGTGTAGTGTGAGGGGAAAGTGTGTTAGGTGTAGTGTGAGGGGAAAGTGTGTTAGGGGTGGTAGTGTGAGAGGAAAGTGTGTTAGGGGTGGTGGTGTGAGGGGAAAGTGTGTGAGGGGAAAGTGTGTTAGGGGTGGTAGTGTGAGAGGAAAGTGTGTTAGGGGTGGTAGTGTGAGGGGAAAGTGTGTTAGGGGTGGTAGTGTGAGGGGAAACTGTGTTAGGGGTGATTGTGTGAGGGGAAAGTGTGTTAGGGGTGGTAGTGTGAGGGGAAAGTGTGTTAGGGGTGGTAGTGTGAGGGGAAAGTGTGTTAGGGGTGGTAGTGTGAGGGGAAAGTGTGTTAGGGGTGGTAGTGTGAGGGGAAAGTGTGTTAGGGGTGGTAGTGTGAGGGGAAAGTGTGTTAGGGGTGGTAGTGTGAGGGGAAAGTGTGTTAGGGGTGGTAGTGTGAGGGGAAAGTGTGTTAGGGGTGGTAGTGTGAGGGGAAAGTGTGTTGGGGGTGGTAGTGTGTTAGGGGTGGTAGTGTGAAGGGAAAGTGTGTTAGGGGTGGTAGTGTGAAGGGAAAGTGTGTTAGGGGTGGTAGTGTGAGGGAAAAGTGTGTTAGGGGTGGTAGTGTGAAGGGAAAGTGAGGCTGGGTCTTGACCAAGAATCGTGGTTTAGGCCCAACGGCCGCCCCGCATAATACTGAGCATGTATCAACGATACATCCTCTGCTCAACAGTGAATGTTAACGCTCCCGTGATGTTACTCAAAAAAGAGTGTACCATGTTTGCCGGCGTCACCATGTTTAAAAACAAAATACTTGCAAAGTACTAAATGGGTAAAAAAAAATGCAATATCTCCCCCTACCGTTAAACTAGTCCAGTCTATTACCGTCCGAAACAGCGCCTTCGTTATCAGAATGGCGCGACTACTAAACGTACTAAATTACAGTGTTTTAATTGAGGCGTCGTGTTTGTGTTAGCGTAGCGTTTCGACTAATAGTTTTAAAAGTTGGGCTTGTGGTTGAACTACTGTTAGGGTAGTGCTTGGGATATTGTTAATGCTAGTGGTTGAACATTTGTGACAACCAATGTTAAGACGAGTCTTAGGGCCACTTAAGATTATACTGGTAGGAACCTCCTGGTTACACCAGAGCCTACAGGGGATGATTGTGTCCGTCCGTCCATCGTGCATCCAAAGATGGGATGGGTGGGGCTGGGTGGGGAGGGGCTGGTCACCCCGTGGTGCCCTTATAAAACTCAACGTTTAACCTACTCACGCCGGCTTGTGCCCGCCCTCACAGTCGGGCATATTTGCGGAATACACCACGTGGTGCCGCCGTTGACCCTGGCCATTGACCGAGCAACCCAACATTCCTACCAGCTCCCTCCGCAGGAATGCGTTTGGTTGGGTTAGTTGCAGCAATATTGCTCGGCTGAGTTTTTGGACTCGTGATTGAGCTATTGGTTGGGTATAGTAATAGAGACATTGGCCGGGCTAGTGTGGGGGAAAGTGATAGTAGCTGGTGGCTGGGCTAGTGGCCTGGCTAGTGGTTGACGGTGGCGAGATGTTAACTACCTGGCCTTGTATGGAGGAGGTCGTGGGTTCGATCCCGACCCTGACACCTGTATATTTGGAGTTTGCATGTTCTCCCTGTGATCGTTTTAATTTTTCTCCCAGACTTCCGGATTATCTCCACATTTAGAATCAATATGCGCTTAAGAGTATCTGGCTGCTATAAAATTTCCACGCGATAAGCCACTTCGTTGAATTATCATTTGTGATTGCCAGGTCGCTTCTGAACAAAGCTATATAGCTCAGTTGGCGTTACCTGGTAAAATAAAAAAATATATATACTTCCTTTTTAGTTAAGACTGGCGTCTCGCTGTAGGTCGCCCGTGGATCTTCAGGAGGTGACGGCACTGAACGTTCAGGCGCTGCGCAGGCTGCACCAGGCGGTGTTCCCCGTGCCCTATGGGGAGGCGTTCTACCGGCATGCGCGCAGAGCTGGCCCACTTGCCCGCGCCGGTGCCGGCCACAACACTCACCAAGCAGTTTTACACACTGACGTCACCGGCACTTAAGACACACTGACTCCATCACCACTATTTAGCCACTCTGATTAGATCACCAGCACTTGCCAACACTGACCACATCACCAACACTTAACAATACTGACCACATCAGCAGCACTAGTATTCACCAGCACTTAAGACACACTGACTATATCACCAGAACTTAGCAACACTGACCATATCACCGACACTTAGACACACTGACCATATCACCAGCACTCAGCAACACTGACCACACCACCAGCACATAAGCACACTGATCACATCGCTAACAGCCTCAGAACTTACCAGCACCAACTGATCAGGAGTGACCTAACTTAGGTCACAGTTGTAAACGAGGCTTATCCGGGTCTCTTTGAGTTCTCACCTGGTGAAATAAAACAAACTTGAGACTTAACCTGATGGTGTTAATGGTTGTCACGGTGATGAGGTGACGTGCAGGGTTGTGATGGTCATGGCGGTGTTGTTGATGTGTGCAGCGTACGTGCAGGGTGCGATGGTGGGTTCCGTCTGCTGCCGATGGGACACGAGTGAGGATCGCCGCCGCCTGTACATCATGACGCTAGGCACGCTGCCCACCTACAGGCGTCTTGGCATTGGTACTTTACACCACTACAACTTCACTATACCCTTTGTTACAACAAATCCCTTGTGCATGCCTGTGAATAGTCAGTTATAAGTCTCTAGATATAAAGTTAAATGTACAGCCCTGCAGTTGCTTGCCCACATCTCTGCTGGTGAAAGGACTTCGAATCGAGGGAGGCAGTGGACAGCTGCTGAGGTGGGATTTAAGAAAATTGCCCATTTCAACTGCCACGCAGAGAGATCAGTTAACTATTACATGACCTGATCTATGTGCAGTGGATTGCTTCGCTACCTCCGTTGGAATTTTTACCCAAATTGACTGTGGTCTCGGAGAGAGATCCACAGAATGGCATAGAGTTCACATGGTTCATTACTGTGTGGTCGATGGTGTCTTGTCTCTCCCCCGTGTCCCTGTGTTTTCCACACAGGCAGTGCCCTACTGCGCTACGTGCTGGGATTGTGCGAGGCGGAGTGTGGGGAGCGGGTGGTGAGCTCCGTCTACCTGTGAGCAACTGCATTCAAAAGAATGATTAACCCCCCCCCCCCACCTCTCAAGTGGCAGCTATCCCTATGACTCAGCACCTGGACGGCAAGAGGCCATTGGTCTGCGAATAGGCGTCAGTGATTGCTGCTGCTGCGTGTGTAATCCCAGTAGAGTCATTTGGGATGTAATTTTTCGAAGGTGGCACATTTGGACCGTGAAGCAGGCGTACAGTGGCCTAATCGTTTCGAACGACCTCACGGGATCATGAAATGTTTCCTGTGAAGTAGGCGACACGTATCCTATGGTTAATACACCAGCAGTAATAACCGAGACGGCCTGCCAGATGCGAGTCTGCTCCGTGAGACTGATTGTGTGTATGGATGTTTTTTGTGGAGTGGACGCACGGTGGTTAATGCATTACGCTAAGAAACCTAGGAGGGGGCCTGACTTCAATACCAAACTGTGGCCAATGGTGGATATCTTAACTGGTTCTGGGCCTCCCCTAAGTCAACTCAGCCTAAAATGATTACCTAGTACAGCGTGTAAAATATGAACACTGGGGAGACAACAGCCTATTGAACATCTGTGAAAAAAGAGTATGATATCTCATCGGATTCCTCCAGCATAAGTAAATATTCTGATTCTGAACGGCAGCTGGGCATGGTGTTGTCCACCACCTCGTGTACCATACCAGCCTTTGTAGGTGTTTGCTTAACAGTACTAGCCCCAACAATCTGTTCAGGTTACACGGGGGGTTCTACATCTACGTTGTGCGCATGTGCCCTGTGCAGACACGTGCAGGTTGGAAACGAGGATGCTCTGTGCTTCTATGGCCGCTTTGGGTTCCTTGTCAAGGGAAAAGCTTGCGGATACTACCCTCGCCAGCAGCACGCCGACGCCTGGGTGCTGGAGAGGACGCTCACCGACTCATGATGTACTGTTTACTCAACCACCCACTCACCCGGTCGCTCACCCACTCACCCAAGCAGTTCTCATCAAAAATACCCGTTGGCCCGCAATCACTCCCCGACACTCATCGACGCACTGACTTGATTACTAGCCCACTCGCTTACTCGGTGTGTTCACCCACAGGGGGCACGAGTTTCATCGTCAATGTTTATTCTCGAGTTGCGTATCACGTGGTGAGCGGCGAGTGCTTCGCGCTGCGGCGCGGGAGAGGCGTTTGCATACGGGGTCACACCGAGTGGCCGTCTGGACGGGGCGGTAGGGGAACCCGACGCGTGCACATGCACACATGTTCACTCGCAACACATACGTACACGTGTACACGCGCGCGTGCGTGCGTGCGTGCGCACGCGTGTACGCAGGATAAAGTGCATTGTACCGTAGGATGCATCGCTGCCTGTCGCCATCACAGCAGCACGTCTTTTTTCCGAACGGACCTTGTTCCAAACAAACCGTGGGGGACTAAATTATGCACGTGCCCAGACTTGAACGAACAGGCTGCGGAACAATTGTATTTAAATATAGCGCACGTGCGCGCATCATCACGTTATTCCAAATGTATGTATAGGCAGAACTCTGAACTCTATGTCTCTGCTCGGGATGTGTTCCGATCTTTTCGATAAATCAGAATAATCAAGACGTTCACCAAATATACAAATTTCACACAGTTCAAAAATTGGATTAATGATAATAATCAACAAATTATTTACCCAGGAAACCTAGAATGAGTCCAAAGGCCCTTTTTAAGGAGGGTCCTGCATTGGGATGTTTGGCTTACACCAATAATATTGTATGTTTTTAGCTATAGGAGGAAAAACCAGAGAACTCGGAGGAAGCCCATGCAGAACAGGAGGGGGAGTATACAAATCCCACACACAAGGTGCCCGAGTCAGGAATCAAACCCAGCTGCTTCTGGATGTGAGGGGCAAGTGTCTCCTTTGCTACCGTGATCTGAAAACTAGAAGTGACATCACTAATATGACATCCCTTCCAATTGTTTTTCTGCCATTAGGCTCCATGCCGTGGCATCGGGTGACGTCACACGTTAGCGTGTGTGCACATGTTAATATATTACAATGTAAATACGGCACTCTGAAAAATATCTGAAATCATCCTTAAAAATCCAAGTTCTTTAAATCTGAAACTCATCCCTTGTCTCCACATATAAATAAAAACATTTTGAGTCTTATTTACTCTCCAGACCCAACATCCAGCAGCATTTGTTTAAGCGAGAACACCTCTGGACAAGTTTCGACCCTCCGGGAGTCATCAGCAGAGTTCGACTTGTTGAAAAAATGCTGCTGGGTGTCCAGGCATTGTTGGCAAGAGCTCTGCTATCTAAACGATGGGGCCCAGTTCAACACAAAAAAACCAATATTGCATATAAACCCATTATACATTGTTGTGGGGCATTGAGTAACAGCAATAGACTGAAAAAATAAGAATAGGCTTTGCTTTTTCTAGCAATAAAACAGGTGTTAAGATGTCCAAACACCAAATATAAATCTTTTGCAAGGAACCAATAGGCCGATAGACTAAAAACATGTTTTATTTTTAACCAGATGCTGCTGCATAATATTGGTCTGGAAAGTCCATTGGCCATTGGGCCAATACACATTTATATTTATATGTGGAGATAGGTTAACAGTTTTAGTTGTTTGCTTTTACCCATAATTCTCCCTTGCAACTGACGAGTTTATTATTCCAATCAGATTTGTTCCGAGCGACGATCAAACGGCGCGGAAACAAGTTGCAAGGCCTGTTCCGCGTAAGCCGGTCGCCGCTTGCGGCGACCGGTTTATATCCACTGCTAGAGAATATAAATCCCTTACCTAACCCCAACAGTCCTGTGCAGCCATAGGGGGGCCTCTGTCACACACTCGCACTTGACGCATAACGTCGCAACGCCCTTGCGGATCCGCCCCACCGCGACGCATCCTCGGCTACATTTCATCATCTCGTGACACGATGCCGATTGGGCGAAATCGGAACTGATTAAGTTGAACTCCGACATTCTCTCTTATGGGCTTGAGCACCAGTAACCAATTTTGCCAATACCAGTGCCTAAGTAATGAGAGTAGTGGTGGCCAGCTCCACACAATACCACTGGAAAAAAAAATGTCGAGCAGTGTAAATGAGTGAAGCTGGGGTTTGGTGCCGTTTTCCTCATTTCCACCGGCACACCCGAGCCGTACTGGTGGCCTCGCCGAACTGATGTCTTGCATTGTCAGGAAGCGCGGGTTACATTGTACGAGGCGAACCGTGCCACCAACGTGACGTCGCACGCGATTCGTGACATCGATAATCGTGTCGATGAAGCGATGACAACTTGTGTTTGAGCTGTGTACTGACTGCCATCACGCGTGTTGCAGACGTCATTAGCCCCGCCCCCAGTCCTGCTTGGCTCCCCGAGCCAGATTTCCGATGTCGCGAGACTGGCTTGGCATGTCTCGGTTCTGGCTCGGCTTGGTAAAGTGCCAGTGGAAATTTGCCCATACCATGCCGGCCTCGTGCTGGCAAGGCTTGGATGTGCAAGTGGAAACGGGGAAATTAGGTGGAGGTGGGGTCTTAAGATGAGAATGGAAGCAGTGTTATATAAGCGTTTTTTATATATAATAGTCTTAAACAACGAAAATATTCTTAAATCCCCCCCCTCTGCCCACCCAACAGCATACATAGGTACGCCACAGGTCGCGTGTGTGGTGGGGTAAAGTGACCAGTGTAGAAGAGTAGGCCAAGTACCCTCTAGAGTTTCCTCTAATGGAGACCCTTCTGCCAACAGTCGTGGAAGCAGGTAATGGGCTGCAGCTTAGTCTGGATTTTATGTAGTCATTCTCTTACCCTAGTGGATTAAATCAGTCAAGCATTTAGTCAGACACTCCTAGTTGTTAAATGTTGGTGTGACGGGCATGTAGTTATTCTACCCCGATGTTATTTTATAAGGTCAGCCAATCAATGGACTCTGTAAATCTTTACAGTGAGGGAAAAAAATATTTGATCCCCTGCTGATTTAGTACGTTTGCCCACTGACAAAGAAATGATCAGTCTATAATTTTAATGGTAGATTTATTTGAACAGTGAGAGACAGAATAACAACAAAAAAATCCCCAAAAACGCATGTCAAAATGTTATAAATTGATTTGCATTTTAATGAGGGAAATAAGTATTTGACCCCCTCTCAGAAAGATTTCTGGCTCCCAGGTGTCTTTTATACAGGTAACAAGCTGAGATTAGGAGCACTCCCTTTAAGAGTGTGCTCCTAATCTCAGCTCGTACCTGTATAAAAGACACCTGTCCACAGAAGCAATCAATCAGATTCCAAACTCTCCACCATGGCCAAGACCAAAGAGCTCTCCAAGGATGTCAGGGACAAGATTGTAGACCTACACAAGGCTGGAATGGGCTACAAGACCATTGCCAAGCAGCTTGGTGAGAAGGTGACAACAGTTGGTGCGATTATTCGCAAATGGAAGAAACACAAAATAACTGTCAATCTCCCTCGGCCTGTAGCTCCATGCAAGATCTCACCTCGTGGAGTTGCAATGATCATGAGAACGGTGAGGAATCAGCCCAGAACTCCACGGGAGGATCTTGTCAATGATCTCAAGGCAGCTGGGACCATAGTCACCAAGAAAACAATTGGTAACACACTACGCCGTGAAGGACTGAAATCCTGCAGCGCCCGCAAGGTCCCCCTGCTCAAGAAAGCACATATACATGCCCGTCTGAAGTTTGCCAATGAACATCTGAATGATTCAGAGGACACCTGGGTGAAAGTGTTGTGGTCAGATGAGACCAATAAGGAGCTCTTGGACATCAACTCAACTCGCCGTGTTTGGAGGAGGAATGCTGCCTATGACCCCAAGAACACCATCCCCACCGTCAAACATGGAGGTGGAAACATTATGCTTTGGGGGTGTTTTTCTGCTAAGGGGACAGGACAACTTCACCGCATCAAAGGGACGATGGACGGGGCCATGTAACGTCAAATCTTGGGTGAGAACCTCCTTCCCTCAGCCAGGGCATTGAAAATGGGTCGTGGATGGGTATTCCAGCATGACAATGACCCAAGGCAACAAAGGAGTGGCTCAAGAAGAAGCACATTAAGGTCCTGGAGTGGCCTAGCCAGTCTCCAGACCTTAATCCCATAGAAAATCTGTGGAGGGAGCTGAAGGTTCGAGTTGCCAAACGTCAGCCTCGAAACCTTAATGACTTGGAGAAGATCTGCAAAGAGGAGTGGGACAAAATCCCTCCTGAGATGTGTGCAACCTGGTGGCCAACTACAAGAAACGTCTGACCTCAGTGATTGCCAACAGGGGTTTTGCCACCAAGTACTAAGTCATGTTTTGCAGAGGGGTCAAAAACTTATTTCCCTCGTTAAAATGCAAATCAATTTATAACATTTTTGACATGCGTTTTTCTGGATTTTGTTGTTATTCTGTCTCTCACTGTTAAAATAAACCTACCATTAAAATTATAGACTGATCATTTCTTTGTCAGTGGGCAAACGTACAAAATCAGCAGGGGATCAAATACTTTTTTCCCTCACTGTACATATTCATACATCGCCAATCACCACTGTTAGTATTCCTCTGTGTACTGCAACCTCTGGCTAACGTTACTAAATTATCTCTGTCTGCCTCTGCAATTTCACTTGTTCATTTTGTCACAGTCGCGCTTTGATCTTCAGTGGCTAGATGATGATGATGATGGTGGTGATGATGGTGATATTGGGTGGGTAGCTTTAGTCATCGTTACACTTGATGATTATGGTCTGCTCGTCATCGTCGAATGAAACAACAAAACGCTTTGTCGACGAATATTTTCATCGCTGATTTCGTGAAGGAAAATGACACTGGCGGGAAGTGTCGTAACAACAGCGATACCCTATCAATGGCGTTACCAAAATTACAATGTTTTGGTTCAATCATCACCTGCTGGTGTGGCAGGAGTTACCGGAGAGCATGGTGGAGGGGGGGCAGATTCATGGTGGGGGGGGGGGGAACTAAACGGTAATATTTCACAGCAAGGTTTAACAATATTATTAATAAAGTTGTAATAATTATAACAACCACAAGAGCTCGTGCTCTTAAGCTGGGTCCACAACTGAGTGATCAGTTGCACACAACTTGGTTAGACAGTACTTGGTTGGACAAAACTTGGTTGCATGCAACTGAATCGCTGGTATGTGGGTGTCTCTGAAACCAGTTTGGAGCAGTTGCACAACCGGTTGCTGTTCACAATAGAGGTCGACTGGATTTTCAAGCATCGATCTGCTGAGCAATTTGGAACGATGTGTTTCATCACCATGTGATACTTTAGCGAGCTATGATTGGTTGGTTTGTTATTATCCTGAATGCGCCGTCTAATTGCCTCAATGTGAACACAGCAGTTATTAAATCTGTATATGATGAGAAAAAACCCATCATAAAAACAACAGTTGTGCAGACTGAAAAACCATAAGTTTCAAACAAGACACACATCTGTAAAAAGCACACAGCCAAAGTGAATATCCAATACACCATCAGGATTTCCTGAATAACTGTGTTGTGGTCTTCTTTCCCGAGATCACCATCAAAATATATATCTGAGAAAATGTGACCGATTGCCAGCAGCAGTGATGCGGTGATGAACAGTGATTGCTCAAATTTATGTTGATGTTGACCAAAGGCAAGATGACCACAGTGGACTTCTGTAGGTAATGCTGATGGTGTTTTGCATGCGCACAAAGGCCGCGTGATGTACACGCAATTTTGACTCGCGTTTGAGACCAAGCAGTTGCAGCCGATGATTTGGTTGCGCGAGAACTGTTTTGAAAGTGCAACTGATCGCTCACTTGTTGCAGCCAGCTTTTTATCAGTAGTGCGCGCGTCACACGTGACTCCACCTTGTGCAGGAGGTAGTCGCCACCGTCGCTGCACAAAAGGGCCACACCCCTGGCCTCACGATCCAGAGAGCACGGTTCAATGCCTGATGAGGGCTGTTTTGAACGGCACGGTTTGAAAGCGTCTCGGCTCACTTTATCCCCGCGCTCCCAGCACCGGAACGTTTGCTGGGGGGGCGAGGGTGACGCAGACGCCAGGTCATGTCGATTAGTTGACGTTCGCGGTTGTTGTGCTGGCGGTGGTGGGGTAAAGTGTGAGTAAAACCAGGGTGCTTGGAGTTACTGCGACGTCGTGGGTCCGGGGATCCACCTGGCATGCACACAACTTACAAAGCAACACTACAACGCAACAAAACCATAATACCCATTCATAAGTAAACAATAGTAATAGTAATAACTTTAAAGAGACCACTGCCAGGCAATGTGTACCGGCTTACAGCTGTTATGGGTTTCTGAAAGGTCTTCAGTTTTGACCGATCATTGTCGTAGCTTACAACGGTGAAAACCGAATTAATTTCTACAGGCTCGTGTGTGGTTATATAAAGAACGGCCGGAGCGAACCAGGGTGGCTCCAATAAAACGGGGACGAATTCGCCACAGCCGAAAAGATGGATTTAACGAAACTGATCTTTTGAGTTGAGAAATCGACGGCAGTTGCAAAGGAACTAATCAAATCTTGACCAGATTTTCCACGGTCAAAGCAAAGAATTTAATTCAAGCAAAATTCATTGTAAGGGTTGAATTAGTTTTCAAGCGATTGGCCGCTACCAACGCAATGAATTTAGTTGAAATGCATTGGGGCGCAGTTAGGAGGGTGGGCGGGGGGTCAATTGAGTGGAGGTAAATGGCCCCGTGAGCCAGTAGTCACTTCCTATAGACAAGAGCACTCCACATGGGGAAACCTGGGCGGACGGGCATCGAGCGACTTCCATGTCCCCCTGTGTGTGTCTGTCCATGTCCCGCTATCTGCGTCTGTCCGTGGACCCCTGTGTGTCCCGCTGTCTGCGTCTGTCCATCTCGCCCCATCTGGTCGTGTCCTCCCCCTGCCATCTGAGTTTGCCCGTGTCCCCACATCTGTTCGTGTCCCGTTGCCTGCCCTCGTACCCCCATTTGTCCGTGTCTGCCCGTCTGCATCTGTCCGTGTCCCCCTGTTTGCCCCTGTTCTCCCGTCTGCGTCTGTCCGTGCGCCACCGTCTGTCCGTGCTGCTCGCCCGTTTGTCCGTGTCCTTTCTGACCGAGGCCCCATGTCTGTCTGTGTCCCTCTGTCAGCGCTTGTCCGAGTCCCCCTGTCTGCGTGCCGGCGGACACACGGGATCTGCGCGCCGTATGTTGTGTTCCCTGTGCAATGGCCACAGCTTCTGAATGTGTGTTCTGACCCACGTACTGCTGTTGCCTTTGTTTCTGCTGTTGCTGCTGCAGTACCTGCTGTGATTTCTGCCCATGCTGCTGCTGTTGCCCTTGTTGACGTTGCTGTTGTATCTGCTGCTGATGTTGCTGTTGCATCTGCTGCTGCCTTTGCTGCTGCTGCTGCGGCTGTTGGTCATGTTGCTGCTGCCCATGCTGCCCCTGTTGCTGTCGTTGTTGCTGCTGCTGCTGGTGCTGCTGTTGCTGATGCTGCTCATACTGATTTTGCTGATGCTGTTGTTGCACTTGCTGTAGCTTATGCCCCTGATGTTGCTGCTGATGTTGAAGATCGTGCTGTGAATTCTGGAAATGCTGTTGCTGATGTTGCTGTTGTTGATCTTGCTGCTGCTGATGTTGCTGCCCTTGCTGTTGTTGCTGCCCCTGCTGTTGTTGTTGCTGCTGCTGCTGGGTGTTCAGGCCAGGCGGGGTGACGGGGGCGCGCACAGTGAGGAGGCCGTCACGCGTCAGGGAGGAGGTGACACTCTCTGGGTCGGTGCAGTCGGGGAGGCGGTAGCGACGGTGCAGCTCCCGAGACACCAGCGCCTGCCCGTCCTACCGCGACGCGGGGGAATGAGAGGGGTCGCGCGGGGAGCGCACGGAGACGTGAGGAGAGACGGGCACTTTTTTTTTGCGAGGGAGACATAGACGGAGTCGCCTGAGTTGAGGGGTGATGCTGCTCGCGAGATAGTGAAGGTGTGAGGTGAGGCACAGTCAGTACTGTATTGGCAGGGAGATGCAGGCCCTGTCACTTGGGAGACACGGAGACACGGGCAGTATCACTTTGGAGACGCAGGAAGACAGGGAGTATCACTCGGGAGACAGGAAGATACGGGCAGTATCACCAGGGAGACACGGGAAGTATCAATCGGGAGACTTGACCAGGGTGTTTGTGGTCAGTTCATTTGAATGGGAGAGGGTGTCAGTGGGTGTGCGCGGGTGTGTGACTGAATGTGTGTGCACATATGTTCATTTCTTACATCACGAGGGTTTGAGCTTAGCCCATGTGATAGTTAATTATATACTTTTTTATGAAAATAAAATAATTGCCTATAAATGTACTTGAGTACTTTCATATGTATTGGGACAGTGCCGATATGTGTCCCTCTCATGTACGTTTCTGTGTTGTGTAACTGTGGGCTGTGGTTTGTGAGAATGCGTGTGTATATAGTGATGTGTATGTGTATCATGTTGTGTGTAGGGGTGTGTATGTTGTGTATGTGTGTAGTGCTGTATGTGATGTGAGTTCTGTGTAGTGTTGTGTGTAGTATATGTGCGGAGAGTGGTTATAGGGTGACGGTGTATGTGTGGTGAGGGTGTGTATCTGGTGAGGGTTGTGTGTGTGTCTAGTTAAGAGTATGTGGTGAAGGTGTGTGTGTGTACATGTGGTGAGGGTGTGTATCTGGTTAGGGTTGTGTGTGTGTCTAGTTAAGAGTATGTGGTGAAGGTGTGTGTGTGTACATGTGGTGAGGGTGTGTATCTGGTGAGGGTTGTGTGTGTGTCTAGTTAAGAGTATGTGGTGAAGGTGTGTGTGTGTACATGTGGTGAGGGTGGTGTGCATGGTTGGGGGGGGGGGGTCACGTTTATGTGTGGTGATGGTGGTGTGTACCTGCTTTTCGTCGTGTTGAGCGTGCACGTGTATGAATCCCCCGACCACACGCACTGAGATCTCCTCTGGGGAGAAATTCTTCACGTCGAGACGCACCACGAACACACCCTCACTGCACACCGCCTGCACGCACCAGACACACCCCACACACCCACCATCATCACACCATGAACATATCACTATCACCACAAACACACCCTCACTGCACACCGCCTACATGCACCACACACACCCACCATCATACCATGAACATATCACTCACCACAAACACACCCTAACTGCACACCGCCTACATGCACCACACACACCCACCATCATACCATGAACATACCACTATCACCACAAACACACCCTCACTGCACACCGCCTGCACGCACCAGACACACCCCACACACCCACCATCATCACACCATGAACATACTACTAGAACCACAAACACACCCTCACTGCACTACCGCCTGCACACACACCTTCACCATGATTGCACCAACATAGCATCAATACACCCTCAGGGCACACTGCTTCTTAGCAAGACCCCCATAAATGCATCCCAAACATAACAAACGATTATATCAACCGTGAATACCATCAACAAACCACCGCTAATGCACCGTCAATACACAAGTCATTGTCTTTGACCAATGCTGCCAATCTCGTCAGATTTGGAAGCTAAGTAGGATTTAATCTTAATAGTGCGAACATCAGTGCCGAATATCTAAGCAGGTTCTGTTCCTCCCTGAGGTCGATTTGGTCTTAAATAAGTTGCTGGTGCAGTGTGTAAACATCAGCATTGGGAGGGTAAAGACGGCCAGGTGTAGTGTAGATCTTGGTGAGTGGTCACTAACAGCGCTTGCACCAAGTCTGTAGACTATAAAGACCGTAGGGCAAGTGTGTGTGTGTGTGTATATCACACCTCTGCGTGGGCTGTGTGTCTCCACCGGGGAGCTCGTCCACCAGGCTGTCCCCAGCAGAGAGCTCGCCCGGCTCCCAGCAAAGATGCGAGCCAGCGGGCCTCCTGCAGAGCGTCCCCACCGCGGAGCTCGGCAAGAAGCCCGCCAGCCAAGCCCCGCGCGTCCACACTCCGCAGCTCTGCCAGGAGTCCGCCCGCGAGTCCTCGTGCGTCCCCACCGCGGAGCTCCGCCAGGAGCCCACTGCCACCGCTGCTGCTGGCCGAGACCCGCACGTCCCCACCGTGGAGCTCTGCCAAGAGGCTGCCGCTGCTGGCTGAAACCCGCGCGTCCCCGCCGCGGAACTCCGCCAGAACATCGCCCGCCAGGGTGCGCGTGTCGCCACCGACGGTCAGACCCCTGGTGTCCCCAGCGCGGAGCTCCGTGAGGAGGCCAGTGGGTGCCTGCACGATGGCGTTGGATGATTGAGGCGAACGGCGGAGCCAGCTCTGCCGTGAGGCCACGTCCATTTTACACAAACAGCGCCGAGTGTGAGTTTGTGTGTGCGCGACTATGCTATGTGGGTATGAGTGTGTGTGTGGGCAGATAATGCAGAGGAATGTTATAGATGAGATGTTGCAGATTATATATTTTCGCAAGAAAAAAAGAGAGATGCTTTTGAGAGATTGAATGGGAGAGATGGAGAGGAAAGGAGAGCAATTGGGGAGAGATTAGAACCGCGGAATTGGGGAATGATGAAGGATGACAGAGATGGTGGCCAAGAGAGTTAAGGAGTGAGGATAAAATCGAAGTAGATGATGGGATGAGAGATGGTCAGAGAGGTTGGAGATGGCGGAAGAGAAGGCGAGTGATAGTTGTAGAGATGGGGGGAGATGGAGAGAGCTAAGAGAGCTGGTGAGAGAGGGAGATAGTTACATGATGTGTGCTGTGAATTTGGGGCAGGGGTGAGAGACGCGGTGAGAGCAAGAGATGCCGGGAGAGAGGGGGGAGAGAGAGTTGGAGATTATTCCAGAGAGGGGGAGAGCGATGGCATTATAGAAACGCAGAGTCCATGTTAGGGAGAGCGGTGAGAAGCAGGGAGAGAGAGAGAGAGAGAGCGGCAGGCATTAGAGAGGGCATATAGTCGGGGTACGTGTGGAAATGTCAATATTAGACGGAGTATTAGAGTCAATATTAGACATAGTGATGGGAGCTCTTGAGAAGACGAACGTTGGAGATATTTAAATATAGACTTTGAGAGATAAAATAAAACACATTTTAATGGGAGAGCATTTTAACGAGTCCATAATTAATAAATTACTTTTGTAGAGATTAGACGATACCGGTGAATTTGAGACATTAAACATTCAGATATTCACTGTTATGTTTGATAGAAATTATTGAAAACACTCGGTATATTTAAATGCGTTATAGCTATTAGATATTTTTAGTAATCGGATGTTTTAAAAACAATACTTATTACATGTATATATATAGATATTCGTTAGTGATGTTGATAGGCTAGTAACAAATTATATATCTACTGTTGTGTATTTATCTTTAATATTTGTGATACACGGACATAAGACACATGCCCTGTTGTCGATATTGTAGTGAGACGGATATGTAGAGACATGAGTGAGATAGATGTCTGTTAATGTGTGAGATGGACGAACAGACGAGATGTTTAGATAACATTAAATATTTACAGATCTTAGAGATATTTTAAGAGCCAGCCTTCCCCTCCGCTCCTGCAAAATTCGTACCCAACTACCCAAGACCCATATCAACCAACAGCTTGCGTTATCCAGAGCAAAAAAAGAAATATTAGCAACAATTATTACACTTATTCTAATACATAACAAATGGCAAAAATATCAATTGGCTAATTATATTAATGCTCGCGCTAATTAATTGCTAATTCTATCAACACCATCAGCAGCAGCAGCAGCGCATGCCTCGCGATGCACGCGACCCAGGGCCCGGAGCAAACCATCAGATGCCTAAGCGTGGGGATGGGGGCATGGAGATCCAGGGAGCCTGGGTCTAGACTGAACCACTCCTTACATAGGGGTAACATTGACTTTTAACAGTATCCAAAGAATGCTGCCTAATAATATTGGTCTGGAAATCTAATCGGCTGATTGTTTTAAATTCCTGGATATTTATTTTGATTTCCGAGATTTTGTTCCGATGTTTTGATGCAGTTTCCAACGAAACGCATGGCAATTGCAAGATATTTGTTGTGTGAATTGACTTTCATCCTACCCGTGAGCTGAAACAATAATAGCTGGTGCGTCAAATGCATGTTCACGTGACAATTTCATTTGTTTGGCTGTGTCACGTGGTGCAGGGTCGTAACATAACATATTTTGGTGAGATCATTGTAGCTCAATCCAACATTTTATTATGAATCAAGCTAATGGCCTCAAACATTTTTAGCAACAAAGTTTGTTTGCAATCTTCGGCACTGAAGCTGGACATTGGGGTTTTAAGTTTAGCTATAAGGTCATACACGTAATTACACACAAAGTGGTTGCCACAAATTAACTAAAATACGTTTTCTGATCTCGTCAAGGAGCAGAAACCATCAGGCAAACTACGGTCATCCTGTCGGCTTTTGGCTGGCCATCAAACAAAGATGGTTACCGTATTGCGCGCGTTCAGACGCGCTTCTGCGGCCGTCTGGAACGCTCTTGCTTCAGATATTAGAAAGCCACTGGAGCTATGCACGTTTAAATCATCCAGATGAAAAACTCATTTATTTAGAACTGCTTTTTGTGTTTCGTTTGTTGTCCTTCCCCGCACCTCCGATTAGCACGGTTGGCTACATACAGTGCGAAAGAAGTTCAACATAGTTTAACACGTAGAAGGCTTTCGCGACCAATATTATTCATAATAACGGTTTTTGGGTTAGATCGCGTTTATTTATAAATGTGTCGTAACCCTCCACCACCCGACATGGCCAATCAGCAAAAAAAGTGTCACGTTGACAAAAGACAAATAATTCACTACTTTAGCGCACCGGTGTGTTGAAGAGTGAATCCACATTTACAGTTTGAGTACGACGTTTCGCTGGTAAATACTTTTTTGCTGATTGGCCGTGTCGGGTGGTGGAGGGTTACGACACATTTATAAATAAACGCGATCTAACCCAAAAACCGTTATTATGAAGTTCAACATACATTCAAGCTTCCCTAAAACAACATTAGTGGCGGTAGTTAGTATCTTGGCTCCTGTAGCTGGATTGCAAGCCACGATAGGGGGGAGAGAAAGCTGAGGCGTTGGAAGACTTTGTGTTTTTAGGCAATAATGTCTATAGTGCAGATCGCAGTGAGAATGAGGTGAAGAGAGTCAAGTTTGTGATGGGTGATGGAAAATGTTTTGGAAGAAGAAAAATCTTGACTTATTATTCTGTAATGTATTTGTAATTTATATAGTTTTTTTTGTGCAATTAGCACCCATTCATAACAGAAATGGGTTCTAGCCTTTTAAACATCGGGCAGTTCATCTGCACTTGTCTAAGCAAAGCTGACTGCTGATGAGAAACTGAATGTGGAAACCGGTCGAAAGTTTTGCTTTGTTGGACCAATGCTGCTGAAAGAATGCACTCCCAGAAGGCCGTGCAGCCGGTGGGATATATATACAAAAATAAATCCCGTTGCTTTTTTGTTATACATGGAGAGACAAATATGGGAAGGAGGTGAATTGTCTGCTTCGGTATTTTATTACTTTGGTTATATTATCAGCCCAGCTGTACAATGTGGTGTGCATAGATTGCACTATGCCCACATGTGTCAGACTAATGCTGTAAGAGTCACAAGGACCTGTGGCGATGTCAGAGCGGTATTAGGAGGTGTAATCTGAGAGATTTGGTCCCACTGGGCCTGTGCATATTTAGCTCAGACTGCGTGCAGCCAATGTGCCATTTTAAACGATTCACGCACACAAACAGTCATATGGGTATGTATACATATATGCACAATCATATATATCTTCATCAGCCATCATCAGTCTACTGCTGGATGAAGGCCTCCCCAAACCACTGCCACCTCTTACCATTAGAAGGGAAAAAAGACGGTGATTTCCTGCTGAAATGAGCATCGATGCATCGGTCCTCATCTGCTTACAGCGCTTGCAGAGCCAATTGTTGAAAATTCCACATTCCCCACTTAGTGGTGCAGTACTGTACTCGCTTTATCGACCACGGAGAAACAATGGGCTGAGTCGAGCCACAAACCAGGAGTTGAAGTCGCAAGCTCCCGATTGCGAGCCACTTGCTCTACCACTGAGCCTACTGGCGATTGTAATAATAATCCACAGAGCACCTTCACACGAACTGATTTCATCGTTCCGTCTCCTCGGTGGTTTTACTGTTAGGTGCCTTTAAAGTACTGTTGGGGCAAGTGCTGTTAGCGAGCACCTGTGATGGCCGGAACGGTATGAAGGTGTGGTGTGGTCAGCACCACGCTTGGTCGTCTTTGTCTCCCCAGTGCTGATGTTTACACACTGCAACAGAAACTAATTTATGGCCGAGTCAACCTTGGGGAAGGCCAGGAGCAGGTCAGATATCACACTGCACAGAGGTTAGACTTAAACAGGAATCAAACTAAGGCTGCTCTATTAATCGTGTAGTGCGCTCATCTATGCCGCAACTCCCCGCATACAGTACAGTACTGATACACACACCCGTAAAAATACACAAGCTCCTATTTACACGCATATATTAACATACAATTATATTTTATTCCATTTCGCATTCATATAGCAGCGCCCTTTTCCAGGGGCGCTTTCAGTGAGGAAGGTGATGGAATGGATGGAGGGACGGGCTGGTAATGGAGCTGATGTTGCAGAGGTAGGTACGGCAGAATAAGGTGGAATGTGATGGTGAGTGAATGCGAAGGAATATCCAGTGTATTAATAAAACATGTGACAAAGTGTACACATGCACACACACACACATTTATTATTATACTCATTCAGCCATGCAGTCAGCCACTCGCCCATAGACTCATCCACCTGCAGCTTCGGAGCCACATACATGTGTTTAAAGGGCTGCACTGTGGCTCTTTAAATATTACGTTTTTCTTATCCAAGTCGAAAATACGGTAATGGCTCTTGTACTGGTAGGAACGAAGTTGTAAACTGAGTGTACCAGCCTGCAATAGATTAATGTGTCCGTCCGTCCGCTTTCAATACTTTAACGAAGTGAAATCTCGTGCTGTTGGGTGTAAAATCAGCAATAGAAAGCGCAGAAACTTGATATGTCTTATAAAATTGCGCAAAATTCCAATGTTCCTACCAGCCCACCCTGCAGGGACCTGTTTATTTTTGCTGCCGAACCCTGTCCAGTTTACCATGGGGAGGGGTCGGCAACCTGCGGCTGGCTCTTTCAGGACTGTTTCTTGACGTTATTAAGGACCGTCTCGTATTCACGTGCATTTGCAGCTCTTGAAATGCTGAGTTGTTTACCAAATTCGAAATTGATTGATGTTGATTTTTGACACGTGCACACACGTTCGACGCCTCACCCAGACACAAACACGCGCTCGTCCGGCCGTACACACAACCATAAACCCACCACTGAACCATATCGCTTACTAACCAGTACGATGACTCAAACACCCACTCTCAGCCATTCATCCACACACACACACGAACTCACCACAAACTGACCACACACACCAATGCACTCACTAACCCACTCAAGCACCCACCCACTCTCACCTATGGAGTGCTCGCCAACATAAACGCACTCACCCACGGTCCTCACAATTCACTCAGCCATGAACTCGCAAAGAGAATTGTCTACCCATAGCCACTCACCCATGGTTAAACTCACTCGTTTAACCATGCACTCACCAAACTCGCTCTGGCACTCATACCGACTGTGGCGAGGTGTTAACTACCTCGCCTGGTATACGAGATATCGTGGGTTCGACCCTGACGTCCTGTATATTTGGAGTTTGCATGTTCTCTTCCCGTGGTCCTGTGCATTTCTCTCTGGCTCCCCTGGATTTTCCCTCCACGTTTAGAACATGCGTTGAGAGAATTTGTCTGCTATACATTTCCACGTGATAATTCACTTCGTTTAGCTATCGTTTGTGGGCAGGTCGCTTCTGAAAAAGGGCTACATAGCTCAGTGGGCCTTACGTGGTAAAATAAAAAAAATAGTTTAGTTTTATAGTTTGTACCCATGAAGTCAACACGCACACACTCACCAACATGATCATTTAGCATGCCCTCACCCACTCATCCATACAGACGATCAACCCTATAATTCACTCGTCCATGATTACAGCCTCACCACGAACGCCCCCCTCTGAACAGTCCCCATCTGCCCTTATACATCCGCGAGGTGCAGAAATCCGTGGTAGTTCCCGGCTTGTCCTATAACTCCACGACTGCCGCAGATTTAATCTGAGGTAGAGTATACGCAATGCGTAACTACAGGGGGGAAAGTTTGCTGGAGAACAAAAAGTGGTGAGAATACAGTACAGTACTTTTATTGGTGAGAGTTGCGGCTGGGTGACTCGGCTACCGCGGATTTCTAACTCTGGGCGGTCTCAGGACTCTAAATTTACCCTCATTCATTTACTCATTGGTGTATTTTTATCCATAGACTCGGCGCTCCGTTCGGTTTAAGGGGCTCCCAGCAGCTGGGACGTCAAGAGGAACTGCTCTAACTGCAGTGAGAATTTCTCGAGCGAGGAGGTTCTAAAGCAAGAGGTCTTCCTGAAGCAGGTTATCTCGAGGTTTTATAGAAAGAGATTAGGAAGAATTCCTACCAGGGTGAGGGACCTTAAGAGAGAGAGATCCTATAGGAGGGTGTTGTGGAGGGAAGTCCTTCGGAGAGGATTCTATCGGGAGAAGTTCGCCTTGGGTGAGGTCGCATGGGAAGCAGCCCTATCTGAGTGAGGTCCTATATAGGGATCCTAAAAGAAGAGGTCCCTCTAAGGTAGTGGTCGAATTGTTATTGAGGTCCTCTAGAGAGAGAGGTCCTCCCGGGTGAGGTACTCTTGGGAGAGGTCCTCTTGATTGAGGGCTTCTTGAGTGATGGCCTAAACATCGACGTCCTCTTCAGAGAAGTATGTTAAAATTCTTTCTCACCATACGTAGCCAACCGTGCTAATCGGAGGTCGGGGAAGCCTTCAAGAGTGCTCCTTACAGCTGAGGTATTTACAAGGTAGGCCCTATTCAGAGTGGTCCTCAAGGGAGACCAAGACCAGTGAGAGGTCTTCACGGGAGAGATCGACCTCGGAGAAGGTTCCCTGTGGGAGAGGTTCCCTTTGGGAGCACCGCGCCAGGAGACATGCAGGAGGAGGATCGGGCCATCCCTCATGCTTACCCCATGATTCCCAACATCGACTTTGGGCCCCAGGGCCGCCTGTATGACCAGCACTTCGGAGAGGGTGAGAGGCGTGCTGATGAGGATGGTGATGATGATGATGATAAAGTTTATAGGTGCTGATATTGAATGTGGTGTTCAAAATATCCACGCTAAGTGATAACATTGTCAATAATGGTGGGGGTGCTGTAAATGATGTGTGCTGTTGGTGATATGATAATGGTGATCGATGATGTTGCCATAGATGACGATTTGCTAATTGGTGACATTGATAATGCTTATACAGTATATAATGATGTAGATGTATAAGTAATAGACAGTGATACAGATGAAGTTATATATGTGGAGAATGCTATCGATGAAAATGTAATGTTGATGCTGTAGACGTTGATTATGCTGTAGATGATGACGGGTCAATAATACCATGGACAATGCTAGAGAGGGGTAAGGGCGGGAAGTGGCGGGGTGGGCGCTGATCGCTGAATGTCGCAGAGGAAAGTTCGTCTGTCGCAGCTTGTGAACAGCTTTTTTTTCCTTTCCTATAATTACGAAAAACACCGCGGTGCAACTGGAACTTTATCCATGGCACAATGATTGTGAAGCACCGCTCGAGATGCCTTGTAGATAGGGAAATCCCTCTAGATGAGCCTGCAGCTGATGATGGATCCTCTAGATCAGGGATGGGCAACCTGCGGCCCCGAAGCCGCATGCGGCTCTTCACGGACTGCTTCGTGACGTAATGTACGTACGGATGTATTCACATGCATTGCGGCTCTTGAAATATTGAGTTTTTGTACCGAATTCGAAAAAAATGCCCCCTTCTTGTTATTTTGGTTGCCGACTCCTGCTCCAGATGAAGCTACAGATGTTTGAAGCTATAGTTGTCAGCACTACAGATGAGGCCACAGATGATGATGCTGATGATGATGATGCATACGACCCTGCAGCTATATCGTTGAACCACGAGACGATCGTGACCCCTGCTTCGATGCAGCGCTGTCCCCGCAGGACCTGCTGTGCCCCACGCTCTACCACGGCTACTACGTGCGGCCGCGCGTCTCGTCGGCCGGCTCGGCCCGCTCGACCCGGGGCCTCTCGGAGGTGCGCGCGGACGCGGACGTGTACCGGGCCCTGCTCGACGTGAGCCAGTTCACGCCGGGCGAGCTGGCGGTGGACTGCGTGGACAACCTGGTGCGCGTGCGTGGCGAGCACGCCCAGCGCCCCGACGCCCACGGCTTCGTGAGCCGCACCTTCACGCGCCTCTACCTCCTGCCGCCGGGAGCCGTGGCCCACGCGCTGAGGGCCCGCGTGACGCACGACGGCCTCCTGGAGATCACCGTACCCCTGGACCAGACGGCGGCGGCCGGCGTCGTCGTCAGGGCCGTCACGGTGGAGAGGGACGAGGAGGAGGAGGAGGAGGAGCGAGTGGCGAAGGAGGTGGTGGTGGAGGAGGAGTTGGAGAGGAAGGAGGAGAGTAAGGAGAAGGAGGGAGGTGCCACCAGCGAGCAGAGAGGAAGAGTGAGGTGGAGAGATGGAGGTAAGGCTGGAGTAAAAGTGGCAGGCGAAGAGAGGGGGGCAGGTGAAAGGAAAGGAGGAGAAAAAGGGAAAACCGAAGTGAGAGTTGGAGGTGGAGGAGGCAGTGAAGAGAAAGATGGAAAGAAAGGGATCAGTGGAGGTAAGGCTGGAGGCAGAGTGGGAAATGCAGGAGGTGAGGAGAAAGAGGTACAGAAAGGGGGAGACGAAGGGAGAGAGCAGAGGGGCGGAGAGAGAGAAATAGAGAGGAGAGATTGTGATGGAGAGGCGCAAAGAGATGGTAAAAAGGGGGGAGGCGGAGGAAACCAGGGCAATGGAGTGAAAACGGGAGCTAAAGGGGAAGGAGGAAAAGGCGGCGTGAGTGAAGTGATAGGTGGAGAGAGGGGAGGAGAAAAGATTAGAGAGAGACCAGCGGATGGAAAACAACATAGTAGAGAGAGAGCTGCGGAGAGAGCGGAGGAAAGTGGCGGCGGTGGGGAGAAAGGAAGGGGAGAGAAGAGAGGAGGAAAGAGGAGTGGAAAGAGAGGTGGACGGAAGGGTGGAGATTAGAATTAACATGCAGAAGACAGAGGTGGACATTTAGAACAAGGATATGCAGAGCGTTTGGAGAGAAGTCTTTAACAGATGGTGGAGATATGAAGGGAGTGGACAGTTGGTGGGGAGATGGTGAGGACATTATGGAGAAAGAGTTGCTTAAAACATGGTGGAAAAATTGTAGATGGTGGAGATTTGGTGGAGAGATTATGGGGGGAGATGATGGAGAGATACTTGAGAAATGGTGGATCCATGACATGGTGGAGAGTTAGTGAAGAGATGGTGGAGGCGAGATGACTGAGATACGGTGGAGATGTTATTAATGGTGGAGAGAAGTGAGGGAGACAGATTGTGTGGAGAAAATAGATGATGGAGGGATGAATATAAAGTGGGCATTTGGTGTAGAGATGGTCAAGGGATGATGAATTTAGGTAGTTAAGAGATGGTTAAAAGAAGATGATGATGATGATGAGAGATGGACACAGGGCTTCAGAATTATGATGAGGAGATGGTGGTGAAGGGAGAGTGAGTGAGTGTGGGTGGAGCGGTGAGAGGCAGTCTGCAGAGACTGGATGAGAGATGGAGATAGTGGGAGATGAGAGAGGCAGGTTGAGATGCAGTGGCAGAGATAATATCGAAAGGAGACAAAGCATCAGAATTTCCACGTTACTGAAATGAGGGTAGCCTTTCCTTCATCATAAAAGTGTGGAATGTGACACCATTTGGTGCCCTGATATCAACACGTTGTTATGCTAAGACTGTACTCAGAATTGTTTTAAGAACGTGGAATGTATCAACAGGGGTCATCGTGTTTCATATAAAGTCACACTTGACCCTGTCATAATAACGCAGAGTTGAAAAACCACTCGTTGCAAGGACGTCACCAGTGGTTGTTGATGTGCTTCATCAACTAAGAGTATTCAGGGCCTCGCCATAGTCATGTGGAATTTTACACAACAGGATGAAGACTTTATGTGTGTGTGCTCGTGCATGGTTGCACTGATTATGCAATGTATAAACACGTGTGTAGTACACACACACACACGTGCACACACACACTGGAAGTGTGTGCACAGGTTTGTGCTATCTTATATACACAACAGGGTTGGCGGAACTGTTTTCTCAACAACAACAACACATTTATTTTTCCCAATTTTTATCCCGATTGCGCTGCGATCGGAGTTGCGTCCGTCACGAGACGCAGAATCCATTCAGAAATCTCGCTGAGCGGTGCAACCCTTTTGTGTGTTTGAGAAGGGCCTGCGGAAACGGATAACGCAGAGCTACCTCCGAATTCCGGCAGGGTGGGTGACGCAGTGGCACTGTAACACTTGTGGAACACAGCAAAAAGAAGCCAGGTTTAACTCCTACCTCGGGCATCGTTGTGTGTGAAGTTTGCATGTCCTCCCCCTGCACACATGGGTTTCCCTCCGGGTGCTCCGCTTCCCTCCCGTAGCTAACAGCACAGCCGTCATTGGTGCTGGACAAAGATTCCAATGTAGGAAGACCATCATGGAAAAGTATTCAAACCCAGTGTGGCTTTCTTGGATAATATAATCACGTATTTTCCATTCAATTGACCATGGTCCATACAAAGTGAGAGACAACATTTTCCACTCGCTCTGCGAACGAGAGTAACGTTCGTCACATGACAGACCGATATTTTATTTCTCGGGGCTGGAATTTTATCACATTTAGGTGTGGCACCAAATTTCACCTGATGGTTATTGTGTGCAGTCATTTGTGACTGGGCTGACGGCTATCAACTCGATACACTTTGAAAGCCCGGTTTAATCACAACTCGGTCTACGCGAGTCGATGGGTCTCTACTGCATGTGAGCCTACAGAACTCCGTGTGAATCTATGGATCTGTAAGTCATTGGTGACCCAGCTGAGACCATCAACACTTGCAGAACACGCTTCAATCACAACTCAGTCTAGGTGGTTCATCTATGCGAGCATTTTAATCTCCGTGTGAGTCTATGGCTCTCTATGCGAGTCACTGGTGGACCGGGCCGTGAGACTCATCAACTCAACTGCACTTGAAACCTTGATTCGAACCAATGACCTCGAGTGGAAGCTCAGGAAAGTCGTGGGTCGCATCTGGCCATAATCATGATCGTAGCTATATAAGGAACAATTGTTCAGCAGACAATTCGCCTCCACATATCTCTCTCTGCACATATAAAGTAGTAAAAAAAAACCTCCAGCCCCACGGCTTTAGCAGCGTTGATTTAGCTCAAGCAAAATTCTACAACGGGTTCGACCTGCAGCGTCTCATCACATCACCAGTCAAGAAGGCTCGATTGAATCAATTCTGGTGAACTGCCAGATGTTATTGGCAAGGAGCCTTTCTTTAAGATATGGGTTCAAACCATAGGGTTACCCACACACACCAAACTAAAAAAAAAAATCAGTTCTCAAGAAATGAGTTAATTAAATTTAAAGGTACTGTGCATAGCTCCAGCGCCTTCCCGCACCTTCGATGAGCACGGTTGGCTACGTAGGTAAGGTACGAAAGAAGTTCAGCATACATACACACATTACACAAAGTGTAGGTTTATAGATCTGTGGTTTCTTAGCAACTTTGTAGATTTTCCCTTTGATGTTTAATAATAATAAAAAAATGTTTTAATCCGCTTCCAGCTGCCTGCTAAGACCTGGCAATTTTTAGGCAAAATTGTGAAATGTGTTCTCCCTCACGTGACATACGAATATCTCTAAATAATAAAAGCCTCGCTCAGCTTTGAAGTTTCCTGCTTCGAGAATAAATGTCTTGAAGGCTGTCTCGGTATGCGCGCCTCTCTCTGTGTGTGGTAATGTTAGGAGTGTCGTGGGACCAGTACTGACTGCCTTGTCTAATCTCTGTGATGTACGTACTGCCTTGTCTGGAACGTCTGTGCTGCCTTGTCTGTGCTGGCGCTCTCACCTGTACTGCAAATGCTGTGATGTATGTACTGTGACCTCTACCGCACTGCCTCGTCTGTTTAAATGTCTATCCAGCTGTCTTGCGTGGACGGTCTCTCATCTGTACTGTGTGCTGTGTCATCTGTACCGTCTGTCTCTTCTCTGTACTGTCTAATTCTCTGTACTGCCTCGTCAGTACGCATTGTCTTGTCTGAATAGAACTCGGGTCGCAACGCAGCGTCGTCAAGCACTGCGACAACCACCGCTCCACGCCCACACACATGGGGCTGAAGGTCCCCTGAAGTCAATGGGGGTGGTGGTGGTTGGGGGTGGTGGTGGTTGGGGGTGGTGGTGGTTGGGGGTGGTGGTGGTTGGGGGTGTAGCTTTGAGCGCGCTGTTCTACAAACCCGGCGACTCGAATTAGAATCCCGCTCATGGCGAACACCAGTGACGATTATTTGAACCGGTCATGGGCCCTCCGTTAGGCCGACTCAGTACCTGGTGTGGTGTATACACATCGCCACTGGGGAGACAAAGGCGGCTGGGGGTGGTGCTGGCCACCCACCCCCTCGTGTGCCGTGCTGGCCTTCATTGGTGCAACTGGTTATCAGCACTTGCCCCAACAGTCTGTTCAGGCTATGGGGGGGAAGATCTTTGTCTTTTTGCATTATGTAACGGAGTAGGCGACAGCAGGGGGCGCTGTGTATACGTGTGCGCGTCACTAAATCTAACGTCATACTCTGGGTCTTTCGGTAAAGTCACGTACATAGAAAACTAATATTATTATTTCTCTATCGACGTGATAATATTATAATATTATTTTTCTATCTACGTGACTTTGCCGAAAGACCCAAAGAGTATGAATTCCTGCAGTCACGAAAGCTTTAAGCCAAGATCTAGCGTAATAACTCTCAGATTATCTAACGCTCGTTAAACCGGCAGAGACCATGGAGTGATGGAGGTGCATTGAAATAAAACCCACACAATTCAAGTTAATTTTGTTAAACCAAATGAGACGCCAGGATGACTATTCTCGTTTGCAAGAGTGACCCGGATCACCAAAAAATGGCAAGACAAATGCAACATCAAAACAGCAATGAAGCAAATCGGAATCGAGAGCACAAGCGACCGAATGGATATCGGAGCAAAAACAACTACGGTTCGGAAAAATCGGAGCATAACATCGTCAGAGCCCATCGCGCAACAATAACATGCCCTTTGCATTGCACTCTCATGCCCTTTGCATTGCACTCTCATGCTCACGTGTCCTTTGGATCACACTCTCATGCTCACATGTCCTTTGGATTGCACTCCCATGCTCACATGTCCATTGGATTGCACTCTCATGCTCACATGTCCTTTGGATTGCACTCTCATGCTCACATGTCCTTTGGATTACACTCTCATGCTCACATGCCCTTTGGATCACACTCTCATACTCACATGTCCTTTGGATTGCACTCTCATGCTCACATGCCCTTTGGATTGCACTCTCATGCTCACATGTCCTTTGGATTGCACTCTCATGCTCACGTGTCCTTTGGATTGCACTCTCATGCTCACATGTCCTTTGGATTGCAACCGTTGGGTTGCACTCCCTCGTTGAGGAGGCCGCTCTCCTATCTTAGTTACATGCTAATCCCTCACATTAACATAGCCACTTCCATGCCCTCTAATTTCTCACATTAACATCATGCTAATCCCTCACATTAACATAGCCACTTCCATGCCCTCTAATTTCTCACATTAACATCATGCTAATCCCTCACATTAACATAGCCACTTCCGTGCCCTCTAATTTCTCACATTAACATCATGCTAATCCCTCACATTAACATAGCCACTTCCGTGCCCTCTAATCCCTCACATTAACATCACGCTCATCCCTCACATTAACATAGCCACTTCCCTGCCCTCTAATGTCTCACATTAACATCATGCTAATCTCTCACATTAACATAGCCATTTCCCTGCCCTCTAAGTTCTCACATTAACATCATGCTAATCCCTCACATTAACATAGCCACTTCCCTGCCCTCTAATGTCTCACATTAACATCATGCTAATCCCTCATATTAACATATCCACTTCCGTGCCCTCTAACTTCTTACGTTAACAATCATGCTAATCTCTCACATTAACATAGCCACTTCCATGCCCTCTAATTTCTCACATTAACATCATGCTAATCCCTCACATTAACATAGCCACTTCCATGCCCTCTAATTTCTCACATTAACAATCATGCTAATCCCTCACATTAACATAGCCACTTCCATGCCCTCTAATTTCTCACGTTAACAATCATGCTAATCCCTCACATTAACATAGCCACTTCCGTGCCCTCTAATTTCTCACGTTAACAATCATGCTAATCCCTCACATTAACATAGCCACTTCCGTGCCCTCTAAGTTCTCACATTAACAATCATGCTAATCCCTCACATTAACATAGCCACTTCCGTGCCCTCTAAGTTCTCACATTAACAATCATGCTAATCCCTCACATTAACATAGCCACTTCCATGCCCTCTAAGTTCTTACATTAACAATCATGCTAATCCCTCACATTAACATAGCCACTTCCGTGCCCTCTAATGTCTCACGTTAACAATCATGCTAATCTCTCACATTAACATAGCCACTTCCGTGCCCTCTAAGTTCTCACATTAACAATCATGCTCATCCCTCACATTAACATAGCCACTTCCATGCCCTCTAACTTCTCACATTAACAATCATGCTAATCCCTCACATTAACATAGCCACTTCCATGCCCTCTAAGTTCTCACGTTAACAATCATGCTCATCCCTCACATTAACATAGCCACTTCCGTGCCCTCTAAGTTCTCACATTAACATCATGCTAATCTCTCACATTAACATAGCCACTTCCGTGCCCTCTAAGTTCTCACATTAACATCATGCTAATCTCTCACATTAACATAGCCACTTCCGTGCCCTCTAAGTTCTCACATTAACATCATGCTAATCTCTCACATTAACATAGCCACTTCCATGCCCTCTAATTTCTCACATTAACAATCATGCTAATCCCTCACATTAACATAGCCACTTCCATGCCCTCTAATTTCTCACGTTAACAATCATGCTAATCCCTCACATTAACATAGCCACTTCCGTGCCCTCTAATTTCTCACGTTAACAATCATGCTAATCCCTCACATTAACATAGCCACTTCCGTGCCCTCTAAGTTCTCACATTAACAATCATGCTAATCCCTCACATTAACATAGCCACTTCCGTGCCCTCTAAGTTCTCACATTAACAATCATGCTAATCCCTCACATTAACATAGCCACTTCCATGCCCTCTAAGTTCTTACATTAACAATCATGCTAATCCCTCACATTAACATAGCCACTTCCGTGCCCTCTAAGTTCTCACGTTAACAATCATGCTAATCCCTCACACTAACATAGCCACTTCCATGCCCTCTAATGTCTCACGTTAACAATCATGCTAATCTCTCACATTAACATAGCCACTTCCGTGCCCTCTAAGTTCTCACATTAACAATCATGCTCATCCCTCACATTAACATAGCCACTTCCATGCCCTCTAACTTCTCACATTAACAATCATGCTAATCCCTCACATTAACATAGCCACTTCCATGCCCTCTAATGTCTCACGTTAACAATCATGCTCATCCCTCACATTAACATAGCCATTTCCGTGCCCTCTAATTTCTCACATTAACATCATGCTAATCCCTCACACTAACATAGCCATTTCCGTGCCCTCTAATTTCTCACATTAACATCATGCTAATCCCTCACATTAACATAGCCATTTCCGTGCCCTCTAATTTCTCACGTTAACAATCATGCTAATCCCTCACACTAACATAGCCACTTCCGTGCCCTCTAAGTTCTCACATTAACAATCATGCTAATCCCTCACATTAACATAGCCACTTCCATGCCCTCTAATTTCTCACGTTAACAATCATGCTAATCCCTCACACTAACATAGCCACTTCCGTGCCCTCTAAGTTCTCACATTAACAATCATGCTAATCCCTCACATTAACATAGCCACTTCCATGCCCTCTAAGTTCTCACGTTAACAATCATGCTCATCCCTCACATTAACATAGCCACTTCCGTGCCCTCTAAGTTCTCACGTTAACAATCATGCTAATCTCTCACATTAACATAGCCACTTCCGTGCCCTCTAAGTTCTCACATTAACATCATGCTAATCTCTCACATTAACATAGCCACTTCCGTGCCCTCTAAGTTCTCACATTAACATCATGCTAATCTCTCACATTAACATAGCCACTTCCGTGCCCTCTAAGTTCTCACATTAACAATCATGCTAATCTCTCACATTAACATAGCCACTTCCGTGCCCTCTAAGTTCTCACATTAACATCATGCTAATCTCTCACATTAACATAGCCACTTCCATGCCCTCTAAGTTCTCACATTAACAATCATGCTAATCTCTCACATTAACATAGCCACTTCCGTGCCCTCTAAGTTCTCACGTTAACAATCATGCTAATCCCTCACATTAACATAGCCACTTCCGTGCCCTCTAAGTTCTCACATTAACATCATGCTAATCTCTCACATTAACATAGCCACTTCCGTGCCCTCGAACTTCTCACATTAACATCATGCTAATCTCTCACATTAACATAGCCACTTCCGTGCCCTCGTCGAGGAGGCTGCTCTCCTTCTATCTTACAGCTACAGTGCTAATCTCTCACATTAACATCACGCTCATTTCTCACATTAACATCACTAGCCCCGGCCACTTCTCTATGACCCTTGGGCTACACCCATTTAAAACCGTCCTCAGCAGCAGGCCACGATTTCCCACCCGATGACGAGCGCTTTGTGTTGCGCCCGAAACGTCGTGATTTATTTTATTTCATACCTACGTGGACTTTGCCGGAAAGAACCAACGAGTAATAACATGGGGGTTTGTTTAATTGCAATTTTAATTGGAGTAAATTACATTAATCAGAGTTTTGGGAATTGTGTTTAGAATCATTTAATTTGATATAGGGCCACTCATGCAATTGCATCCTACAGCGATGCTCGTCAATAATTACCCAGTTCCGTACACAAATATAAAAACAAAACCCCACTACTTAGCAAAGAATCAAATAAAAAGAATACGTAAATAACTGTAAAAAAATATGCACGTACAGAAGAAAATAATAATAATAGCAGAGAAAATACATTAAAAATAAATCAATCCGTTCGGTCTCCATACCCCAGACCACAATCCCAACATTTCGCCGGATTTTGGATAACCTTC